AGATCTATTGAGGGTTTTCTATTTCTTTCTGGTTCAGTTTTGGTAGTTCATACATCTCTAGGAATGCATCCATTTCTTCCAGATTATCTAATTTGCTGGTATATAGTTGCTCATAATATGCTCTTATAATTGTATGTATTTCTTTGGTGTTGGCTGTGATCTCTCCTCTTTCATTCATGATTTTATTTACTTGGGTCATTTCTTTTTTCTTTTTGATAAGTCTGGCCAGGGGTTTATCCATCTTATTAATTCTTTCAAAGAACAAGCTCCTAGTTTTGTTGATCTGTTCTACTGTTCTTTTGGTTTCTATTTCATTGATTTCTGCTCTGATCTTTATTATTTTTCTTCTCCTGCTGGGTTTAGGCTTTATTTTCTGTTCTTTCTCCAGCTCCTTTAGGTGTAGGGTTAGGTTGTGTATATGAGATTCTTGTTTCTTGAGAAAGGCTTGTATTGCTATATACTTTCCTCTTAGGACTGCCTTTGCTGCATCCCAAAGATTTTGAATAGTTGTGTTTTCATTTTCATTGGTTTCCATGAATTTTTTAAATTCTTCTTTCATTTCCTGGTTGACCCATTCATTCTTTAGTAGGATGCTCTTTAGCCTCCATGTATTTGAGTTCTTTCCAACTTTGCTCTTGTGATTGAGTTCTAGTTTCAAAGCATTGTGGTCTGAAAATAGGCAGGGAATGATCCCAATCTTTTGGTACCGGTTGAGACCTGATTTATGACCTAGGATGTGATCGATTCTGGAGAATGTTCCATGGGCACTAGAGAAGAATGGGTATTCTGTTGCTTTGGGATGGAATGTTCTGAATATATCTGTGAAGTCCATTTGGTCCAGTGTGTCATTTAAAGTCTTTATTTCCTTGTTGATCTTTTGCTTAGATGATCTGTCCATTTCAGTGAGGGGGGTGTTAAAGTCCCCCACTATTATTGTATTATTGTCGATGTGTTTCTTTGCTTTTGTTATTTAACTGCCTTATATAATTGGCTGCTCCCATGTTAGGGGCATAGATATTTACAATTGTTAGATCTTGTTGTTGGATAGACTCTTTAAGTCGGATATAGTGTCCTTCCTCATCTCTTACTACAATCTTTGGTTTAAAATCTAATTTGTCTGATATAAGGATTGCCACCCCAGCTTTCTTTTGGTGTCCATTAGCATGGTAAATGGTTTTCCACCCCCTCTCTTTCAATCTGAGGGTGTCTTTGGGTCTAAAATGAGTCTCTTGCAGACAGCATATTGATGGGTCTTGTTTTTTTATCCAACCTGATACCCTGTGTCTTTTGATTGGGGCATTTAGCCCATTTATATTCAGGGTAACTATTGAAAGATAGGAATTTAGTGCCATTGTGCTGCCTGTAAGGTGACTGTTACTGTATATTGTCTGTGTTCCTTTCTGGCCTATGTTACTTTTAGGCTCTCTCTTTGCTTAGAGGACCCCTTTCAAGATTTCTTGTAGGGCTGGTTTCGTGTTTGCAAATTCCTTTAGTTTTTGTTTGTCCTGGAAGCTTTTGATCTCTCCTTCTATTTTCAATGACAGCCTAGCTGGATGTAGTATTCTTGGCTGCATATTTTTCTCATTTAGTGCTCTGAATATATCGTGCCAGTCCTTTCTGGCCTGCCAGGTCTCTGTGGGTAGGGCTGTTGTCAATCTAATGTTTCTACCATTGTAGGTTACATATCTCTTCTCCTGAGCTGCTTTCAGGATTTTCTTTTTGTCTCTGAGACTCATAAGTTTTACTATTAGATGTCGGGGTTTTGACCTATTTTTATTGATTTTGAGGGGGGGGTTCTGTCCTGGATTTTGATGCCTGTTTCCTTCCCCAAATTAGGGAAGTTCTCTGCTATAATTTGCTCCAATATACCTTCTGCCCCTCTCTCTCTTTCTTCTTATTCTGGGATTCCAATTATTCTAATACTGTTTCATCTTATGGTATCACTTATCTTTCGAATTCTGCCCTCGTGATCCAGTAGTTGTTTATCTCTCTTTTTCTCAGCTTCTTTATTTTCCATCAATTTGTCTTCTATATCACTAATTCTCTCTTCTGCCTCATTTATCCTAGCAATTAGAGCCTCCATTTTTGATTGCACCTTATTAATAGCCTTTTTGATTTCGACTTGGTTAAATTTTAGTTCTTTTATTTCTCCAGAAGGAGTTTCTCTAATATCTTCCATGCTTTTTTCAAGCCCAGCTAGTATCTTTAAAATCATCATTCTGAACTCTAGTTCCGAAATGTCCGTATTGATTAGGTCCCTGGCAGTCGGTACTGCCTCTTGTTCTTTTTTTTGAGGTGAGTTTTTATGTCTTGTCATTTCGTCCAGAGGAGAATAGATGAATGAGAGAACAAAATACTAACAGGGTAACAATGACCCCAGAAAATATACACTAAATAAATCAGAAGAGACCTGAAACCGGGGGAAAAGAAAGGGAAAGAAAGAAAAAAAGATAAAGAAAAAACAAACAAAAAACAAGAAGAACCAGAATATGATCAAATATGATCAGGCTGGTGCATAGATCAGTGCCACACACTAGATTTTGGGCATATTTTGATCTGTTAGAAGAAAGTGCCTCCCAAAATTTTATTTTATTTTTTATTTTTTTATTTTTTAAAGATTTTTATTTATTTGACAGAGAGAGACACAGCGAGAGAGGGAACACAAGCAGGGGGAGTGGGAGAGGGAGAAGCAGGCTTCCCACCGAGCAGGGAGCCCCATGTGGGACTCGATCCCAGGACTTTGGGATCATGACCTGAGCCAAAGGCAGACATTTAACGTCTGAGCCACCCAGGCGCCCCCCAAAATTTTAAAGAAAGAAAAACTTATATATGTACAAAAATAAGGGTAAATACAATGAAGGGATAGAATATGAGTGTAAAGATGAAAATTATAAAAGATTTTATAAAAGGAATTGATAAGAAGTTGGTTGAAAAAAGAAGAGAATTTAAAAAAAAAAAGAAAGAAAAAAAGGGAGAGAATGTGATCAGGCAGGAGACTAGAACAAAGCCATACACTAGAGATTTAGGGTATATTTTGGTCTGTTAGAAGAAACTGTATCCCAAAGCTTTAAAGAGAGAACAACTTATACATATATACCAAAAATAAGGTTAACTACTATGAAGGGACAGAATATCACTCTAAGAATGAAAAATAAAGATTTCTTTTAAAAAAGGAATTGATAAGATGTTGGTTGAAAAAGGGAAAAAGAAAATTAAAAAAAAAAAAAGTTAAAAAAATTAACTTTGAAAGACTGAAGAATCATGGGAAAAAAAGCCAGGAGTTCTATGTGCAGTATTCCCCTAGCTCTGGAGTTCTGCCATTCTCACTGATGGTAAACTTGGTCTTGGCTGGTGGTTCTTGCTGATCTTCTGGGGGAGGGGCCCATTGCCGTGGCTCCCAAATGTCTTTGCTGGAGGCGGAATTGCCCCGCCCTTGCCGGGTCCAGGCTAAGTCATCTGCTCGGGTTTGCTGTCGGAGCTTTTGTTCCCTGCAAGGTTTCCATACAGCTTTGGAGGATGAGAGTGAAAATGGTGGCCTCCCAATCTCCACCCTGGAGGAGCCCAGAACTCGGGGCCCCACTCCCCAGTGCGCCCCCAGAGAAAAGCCATCAGTCACTCCTGTCTCCCCAGTCTCCGGCCGCACTCCGTGCTCACCCGGCCTGTGACCGAGGGTTTCTATCTCTGGCACCCGACCCCAGGTGGAGTCTCCAAACCCAGCAGATCCCTGCGGTGCGCTCCCGTGCCGCTCCTCCCGGGGGAAGAAGGGGAGTCTCCCCGGATCTGCCGCTTGTTGGGTCCCTGCTGGAGGAGCAGTGGCCTGACTGTGCTGCGGATCATGGTTTATGGCAACCCCGAGCTGAGAACCCATGCCTCGACTCCGTCTCTGCAGCTTGCTTCCCCACTCCAATACCTGGGAGCTCTGCCGCACTCAGGCACCTCCGGTCTTTCTGTGACCCCAAGGGTCCTGAGACCACACTATCCCGCAAGGGTTTCACCCCCCTGCTTAGCCACTGGAGCGACGTCCCTCAGCAGAGCCGACTTCTAAAATTTCTGATTTTGTGCTCCGTGGCTCTATCACTTGCTGGTAGCGGCCGACGGAGGCCACCTCCCCAGCCGTCTATCCTCCTGAATATCGCCTCGGATTCACTTCTCCGCACGTCCTACCTTCCAGAAAGTGGTTGCTTTTCTGTTCAGAGTTGCTGCTATTCTTTTCTTCAATCTCCTGTTGAGTTCATAGGTGTTCAGAATGGTTTGATCCCTATCTAGCTGAATTCCTGGGACCAGACGAAATTTAGGTCTCCTACTCCACCATCTTGCTCCTCCTCCTCATATATGTTCATTCTTAAGGAGAGCCTCAATCAGTGCTCTTTCCAAGTTACTCTAATGAAAGCTACAAGATGGGGGCGGGGAGGACTGCTCATATCTTCTCTCTATTCCTGAAATTTTCTTTTATTTCCTAACACTTTTCATATGCATAATATATTTGCCTCTGGGCACCTGGCTGGCTCAGTCAGTAAAGCATGTGACTCTGATCTTGGGATTATGAGTTCAGGCCCATGTTGGGTGTAGAGATTACTTAATGAAATATTTTTTAAAAAAATTATACACACACACCTTCATGTAAATCAAGGCCACTGCAAGTCATGGGTCTCATGTAGGCATAACAAAGGGCATGTGGAAATATCAGGTGCGTATTCATGAATTGTGCTTCAGATGTTTAGAGGGAGAGTCTAAAGTTACACTGCTGTGGTATTTTAATCACAGCCACATACATATCCAAGGAGCAGACTATGGCGAGAATAACTCAAGTAAATGATGAGTACACATTCATAAAATTGTATGTTGTTTGGTTCCGTCATGGACAAAAATTGTTGCAGATACCTCTCTTGACAGCCTGAAGATGTACTATTACTGTTTGTTACGAAGTACTGTAATGAAACTATAGTCTTGATCTGATAGAAGAAAACAAACATGATTCATTTAGAGTTTTGAAAAAAATGTTTAAATTTTATTACTTAAAACATAAGTATGATACATTCTGAGTAAAACAGCATCAGTGTAGTGGTTAAACGGGAATACTATACCTGTACACTGTATTCTGGTTGTTTTGATTAAGTTCTTCTGATAACTGCTCTTTAGTTCCCCAAAATAAGACTAACTGTTCACTCATCTTTGATATACAACCACTATCTTCATTAAAGGGAGAGGATGACCATCATTTCTCCATTATTTCTATCACATAAGCAATCCCTACTAACCTATCATGAAAATCTGTCTCTCAATCTCAAAGCCTGCTGTTTCATGCTCCTCTGGCAGAGCAGTGGTTTCTGATAATCCGTGGCCCTCTGTTATAAAGACAAATCTGTAAAAGGGATCCTGAACATATTATTTACATCATTCTTTTACATATATTCTCTGCCCAACCTGTGTACTCATTCAATTCCACAAAACACTGTATGTTAAAATTCAGTGTTCCTTCAGGATATATCGATGTGAATGATTCCCATTTAATAAAGTAGGCCCTTTATCTTACTGATCTGCTCCCAGAGACCATCATGGTAACACATGAAAAACATGTAATGAAGGTATAACATCAACAAATTCCAAACTTCAGATCAAAAGACATCAATAGTGATGTAGGCCTTTCAAGGAACCTCAAGTAATAGAAGTATTTTTAAAAGAAATGTTACATTCCTAAAGCTCTCCTTGCTCCACTGACACTCATCTCTTGAGTCTTAAAATGATTTTGACTTTTACTTACTGTGAAGAATTTAACATCTGAGGTTGACTAATCTTGGACTAGTTCTCCCTAGTAAAAATTCTCTGATGTAGGGCGCCTGGGTGCCTCAGTTGGTCAAGCGACTGCCTTCGGCTCAGATCATGATCCTGGAGTCCCGGGATCGAGTCCCACATCGGGCTCCCTGCTCAGCAGGGAGTCTGCTTCTCCCTCTGACCCTCCTCCCTCTCATGCTCTCTGTCTCTCATTCTCTCTCGCAAATAAATTAAAAAATTAAAAAAAAAATTCTCTGATGTATATATAGCGTATTGTGAAAAACGGTTAATTGATTTATGCCATTCATTACATTTCTAAGGTTCCTCTTCAGCATGAATTCTTTGGTGAATCCTGAGGTCAGACCATCGTCGAAAGGCCTTGCCACATTCAATACATTTGTATGGCTTCTTTCTAGGATGCATTCCCTCATGACCCCAAAGGTGTGAACTTTGATAAAAGCCTTACCACACACATTTGTGTGGTTTCTCTCCAGGATGTATATTCTGATGTCTTATGAGGCTTGAATACTGCTTAAAGGCTTTGCCACACTCATTACACTTGTAAGGTTTCTCTCCAGTATGAATTCTCTGATGAATTGTAAGGTTTGAATTTTGACTAAAGGCCTTGCCACACACATTACATTTATATGGCTTCTCTCCAGTATGGGTTCTCTGATGTCGAGTAAGGCGTGAACACCAGTTAAAGGATTTGCCACACTCATGACATCTGTAAGGTTTCTCTCTTCCATGAATTCTCTGATGATCCCCCAAGCTTGAGCTTTGAATAAAAGCATCATCACGTATGCTAGATTCATAATGTTTCTTTTCACTATGTATTTTCTGATGTCTAGTAAGGTGTATAAGTTGTGTATATGTTTTATCACATTCATTACATTTATAAGGTTTCTCACCAGTATGTTTTTTTTTATGTTTAGTTAGGCTTGAACGCACAGTAAAGGCTTTGCCACATTCATTACATTTGTGAGGTTTCTCACCAGTATGAATTCTCTGATGTTCCACAAGACTTGAGCTTTGGATAAAAGCCTTACCACATTCATTACATTTGTATAGTTTTTCTCCAGAATGGATTTTCTGATGTTTCATAAGGCTTGAAATGTGGATAAAAGCCTTGGTGCACATAGTACATTTGTGTGGCTTCTCTCCAGGATGTACATTCTGATGCTTAGTGAGGTGTGAGCATTGCTTAAAAGCCTTGCCACACTCATTACACTTATAAGGTTTCTCACCAGTATGAATTCTTCGGTGAATCCTGAGGGTAGACCACTGCCTAAAAACCTTGCCACATTCAATACATTTGTATGGTTTCTCTCCAGTATGAATTCTCTCATGATCCCAAAGATATGAACGTTTGGTAAAACCCTTACCACATTCATTACATTTGTAAGGTTTCTCTCCAGTATGAATTCTCTCATGACGCCAGAGATCTGAACATTTGATAAAAGCCTTACCACATTCATGACATTTGTATGGTTTTTCTCCAGTATGAATTCTCCAATGATTTGTAAGGTGGGAATTTTGATTAAAGACCTTATCACAGATATTACATTTATACGGTTTCTCTCCCGTATGGATTCTCTGATGTCTTGTGAGGTTTGAGAACTGCTTAAAGGCTTTACCACACTCATTACATTTGTAAGGTCTCTGCTCAGAATGAATTCTCTGATGACTAGTAAGGACTGAATGATGGCTAAAAGTCTTTCCACACTCATTACATTTGTATGGTTTTTCTCTAATTTTTGTTTTCTGGTGCTGTGTGAACAATGAAGGAAACATAAAAACCCTTCCATATTTATTACAAAGGTTGGTTTTGACACTAGGAAGAAATCTTTGAAGTGGCAAAACTGAAGAACAAGTTTTGACAGACTTCTCAACTTGATCACATTCATTAATTTTCTCCTCAGTTTGAAGTCTCTGCAGTTCAACCAGATGTGACTGAAAGCTTAATCCAATTCTATTTTCAAAACATTTTGTATACTTATTTCCTGCATAGACTATATTATTTTTTATTTTTAACAAATTTTTTACTAATGACTTCCCTTGTTTAAAATTTTGATATGCACTTTTTCTTAAAGAAACACTCTGCTTTATCGGTAAATTAATCCAGGATTTGCTGTCTTGTTTATCTTTTCTACCAGGGAGATTTACAGTACCTGTCACAAGCACTCCTTTGGAATTTCTTTCTTCATATCCACACTTACTCTCAAATTCATACATATTTCCCCAAACTTCCCTGAAGTCAAAATCCTCAAGGCCATGGCTTTCATGTCTTCCCAAGACCACTGGTTGGCATAATTCTCTGTTACTAATTTCTTTCTTTGGTAGTAATTCCTTGATCATGAATCTAGCAGAGCTTTCTGAAAGATATAGAAAACCATAGTCTTCAGTAAGTAGAGTTGCAAAATGGATATTACACTAAAAGTAATATATTGAAGAGATAATAACTTCTCAACCAAAGTCTGCAAATGTTTAAGAATGCAAAGTGAATAGAATCCTTTAATAAAAGATGACATGTATTTCAAATTATTTTAAGGGAAACCTACTTTCTTTCTCTGTTTTTGTTTTTTGTTTTAGAGGGGCAGAGGGTAGCAGAAGGAGGGGCAGAGGGAGAGATACAGAGAATCTTAAGCAGGCTCCACACCCAGCACGGAGCCCAATGTGGGGCTCAATCTCACAACCCTGAGATCATGACCTGAGCCAAAATCAAGAGTCAGACACTTAGCTAAGCCACCCAGGTACCCCTGTAAACCTGTTTTTAAACACCCTATGACCAAATCATTCATACTATGTAAATTTACATAAGTTCTGCAAGAAAGGGTATTCTTTGACCACCACACCAAAACACACACCAATTGGCAGTAGACAAATGGGTGTCTCATATTGAAAAGAAAACAGATATTGAGGGGTCTGGGTTGTACAGTTGATTACGTGTCTCTTAATTTGGGCTAAGGTCGTGATCTCAGAGTCGTGAGATCGAGCCCCACAAAGGGCTCAGCATGGAGACTGCTTGGGTTTCTCTCTCTCTCCCCCTTACCCCTACCCCCCCTTTAAAAAAAAAAAAAGGAAACATATTATACAAATGCATATTTACGGCATAATTATTATATGCAAATGCTGAAGCGCAGCTATATATGAAGTAATAAGATTTTTTTTGGACAAATAATCCATTTAAAAAATTAATGAGGGGTGCCTGGCTGGCTCAGTCAGTAGAGCATGTGACATACCAGGGTTGTAAGTTTGAGCCCCATGTTGGGTGTAGAGATTACTTAAAAAAAAAATTTTTTTTTTTAATTAATAAGCTAAATACACGGAAATTATGAATTCTAAAACTAAAGGGGTAATAGGAAAATCAAGAAGAATTTAATACAACATCATTGGAATAACAAAATATTCTGAATATCTACTCTAAAGCTATCTATACTCTATGCAGAATAGGCATTTTGGAACATTAACAATTGGTGAATTGCAGTCATATTCCAAACTAGATGCTAAAATCCATAATCTGTAAATGACAAGTTATTAAATGAAATTTTTTAACTAAACCAAGGTAAGTCCCAACAGGTAAATAATAAGTAACCACAATTACACAAAATTATAGACTGTGGAATTCTAATGATTTCTCACTTAAGCACAAGAGAAAGGACTTAGAGTCCAGAAAGAGCACACATGATGAGAATTGGAAAATATGTTAAGAAAAGCTCTCACATATTCCTAGCAGTCTAAGTTACACACATGTCCACTGGCTTCTGAAATACCAGTTTTCAGATAGTATTATAAAGAACTGGGTAGGGGCGCCTGGGTGGCTCAGTTGGTTAAGCGACTGCCTTCGGCTCAGGTCATGATCCTGGAGTCCCTGGATCGAGTCCCGCATCGGGCTCCCTGCTCAGCAGGGAGTCTGCTTCTCCCTCTGCCCCTCCTCCCTCTCATGCTCTCTGTCTCTCATTCTCTCTGTCTCAAATAAATAAAATCTTTAAAAAAAAAAAAAAACTGGGTAAAAGTAACAGCATGAAAATCACTGAGTATCATAAGTGCATCTCTCCACAAAAACAGCAAGTAAGTTGGCAAAAACTGTCAGAATCAACTTTATCGGAATTCTGGAAACTAAACAAAGGTTTACAGCAAACATGTAGATATTTAAGAAACAGGCAGCTGATCTCAGTTGAAGAGCTTCTGATATTTTAACTTCCCCTGGCCCAATCCCATTCTCTCCAGCATAGGGGCAGCCCATGTTCCTGGTATAGGTCTCCTGTACTGAAAGTGGCAGAAAAGACTTGATTCTCTAAGAACTGTGGCTTTTACTTTGACCTGCCTGGTGGCTCACTGAAAAACTGGCTCAAAAAGTTTTACCTTTACTTTGCTTCTTATTAATTCAAGAGGTGCTATAGGGCTGGGGGGTGGGGGGCGGGCAGCATTTGACAAGCACGTTTAAAGGCAAATGTATTACCAGATGACACTTGGGGCAAAAAGCAGACAAACTGAAAAGCCAGGGAATAAGGGCTGGGGAGTGAAATGCTTTGGGGAATAAGGACTTTGAAAGGCTGCCACACGTTCCTAGGAATCCAAGTCATGCACATGCTCAGGGCTGGATCAATGCTCAGAAAACATATGAGGCAGCCCTATGCCTCACCTCCTGCTAACCTTCAGGCTCAGCAAAAGCAGAAGGTAAAGGCTAAGGCATCGCTGTAAATTGCCAAGCTGAGTTTCAGATATTCCCAAACATACAGAATCTATTTACAAAGACTAGGAGTTTTTTGCTTTTTGGTTTTTCTGATTCCAGGTGTTTGAGAAGTTCTGTGTTAAATCACTACCTGACCACTAAGCTAACCAGAGACCTGAGTGGCCACACATGACAAAGAATACAGACTTCACAAATCAACTCCAAAAAATTACTAAACAAAACAACTACAGTAAGCAGCAACATCTAATGCTGGGATGAGGGTGTGGGTGGAGGAGAATGTGACTTCCAGAGTTGTCATAATATTCAAAATGTTTAGCTTTAAAGAAAAAAATTATGAGGCATGCAAACTAACAATGATGTATAGCTCTCATGCAGGAAAAAAAGCAATTTAACAAAAATTTTCCTGAGGAAGCCCAGATATTGGACTTTGCTAGATAAAGAATTTAAGTCACTATTTTAAATATGCTGAAAGAACTAAAACGAAACCATGTGCAATGAACCAAAGGAAACAATAAGAACAATATTTCCCAAAATAGAGAATCAACAAAGAGACAGAAATTATAAAAAGGAACCCAAAAAAAAATTCTGGAGCTGAAAAGTACAAAAACTAAAATGGAAAAGCCCTAAAGGAGTTTAACACCAAACTCAACAGGCAGAAGAAAGAACTAAGAAACCTGAAGATTAAGTCAACTGAGATTATCCAATCTTAGCAGGAGAAAGAAAAAAGAATGAAGAAAAATGAATGGAGAACAAGAGACCTGTGGGATACCTTCAAGTGTACCAACAAAGATAATGGGAATCCCAGAAAGGACAGAATGAAGTGGGCAGAAAAAAATATTTGAACTAATAAGGCAGAAAAATTCCCAAATTTGATGAAATACACAAACCTATGTATCCAAGGAGTTTGGCAAGCCCCGAGTGAGGTAAACTGAATGAAGCCCACAGTGAAACACTTCATAATCAAACTGTCAAGAGCCAAAGACACAGAATCCTGAAAGCAGCAATGGGCAGTTCTTTTGGTAAAAGATCCTCAATAAAACTACCTACTGATTTCACATCAGAAACCATATGGACAAGAAGGCAATGGGATGACATTTTCATAGGGCTAAAGATAATTAACAGTCTACTACGAATTCTATATACTTCAAAACTATCCTTCAAAATAGAGGATAATTTAAAACATTGCCAGAAAAAAAACACAAAAACGGAGAGTCCCTTGCTAGTAGACCAGTCCAACAAAAATGGTAAAGGGAATGAATGTCTCAGGCTAAAATGAAGGAAGAGACAATAACTCGAATCCACATCAAGAAATAAGGAACAGTAATAAAGACAGTACATAGGTGTGTATAAGGTTAGTATTAATGTATTTTTGGTTTGTCATTCCTCTTTTTCCCTATTGATTTAAAAAACAAAGCTAATTTTATTATTTTATTATTTATTTATTTATTTTTTAAGATTTTATTTATTTGCGAGAGAGACAATGAGAGACAGCACGAGAGGGAAGAGGGTCAGAGGGAGAAGCAGACCCCCCACTGAGCAGGGAGCCCGATGTGGGACTCGATCCCGGGACTCCAGGATCATGACCTGAGCCGAAGGCAGTCGCTTAACCAACTGAGCCACCCAGGCGCCCAACAAAACTAATTTTAAATCTACATTGATGCCCCAAAGACACAGATATAGTGAAAAGAAGGGCCATATGCACCCCAACGTTCACAGCAGCAATGTCCGCAATAGCCAAACTGGAAAGAGCTGAGATGCCCTTCAACAGATGAATGGATAAAGAAGATGTGGTCCATATATACAATGGAATATTACTCAGCCATCAGAAAGGATGAATACCCAACTTCTACATCAACATGGATGGGACTGGAGGAGATTATGCTGAGTGAAATAAGTCAAGCAGAGAAAGTAAATTATCATATGGTTTCACTTATTTGTGGAACGTAAGGAATAGTCCGGAGGACCATAGGTGAAGGGAGGGAAAAATGAAGCGGGGGGGGAAATCGGAGGGAGAGATGAACCATGAGAGCAACTATGGACTCTGAGGAACAATCTGAGGGTTTTAGAGGGGAGGGGGGTGGGGGGATGGGTTAGCCCAGTGATGGGTATTAAGGAGGGCACGAACTGCATGGAGCACTGGGTGTTATATGAAAACAGTGAATCGTGAATCACTACATCAAAAACTAATGATTTATTGTATGATGACTAACATGACATAATAAAATAAAAATTAATCTACGTTGATGGTACACAATATATAGAGATATAATTTTATGACAGTAACAGGAGAGAAGGACAGAATATAGAGGAGCCAAGTTTTCATATAATACCTAGGACATATTGTGGGTTCAGGTCTAGGGTAATGCAATATAGTGAATCTAATGAATTTTTTCATTTCCCAGTGGCTGTACTATGAGACAAAATATACTTTAAAAATTTTTATGAGACAAAGGACAATATATACTTAAAAGGATAACTCATTAAGGAATTACAAATATGAACATATACACAAGCGAACCCCAAAATATATGAAACATTTATAGAATTGAAGGGAGAAATAAAAATAGTTCTAGAATAGTGTTTGGAGACTTGCAGAACTCACTTTCAAAAATGGAGAGTACAGCTAGACAGAAGTTCAGTAAGGACACAGATGATTTTAGCCCGACTATAAACCAATGAGTACTGACAGACATATGTCGAGTACTGCACCCAGTAAGAGCAAAATACATTCTTCTCTACGTGCGTGTGAAACATTCTCCCGGACAGACCATATATTAGTCCATGAAGCAAGTCTCAACAAATTGAAAAAGAGTGAAATCATACAAATTATTTTCTCCACAAAAGAACAAAACTAGAAAATGAAGAACTGAAGTAAGACTGGAAAGCTAAAAAATACGTGAAAATTTTTAAACTCTCTTAAACCAATGGGTCAAAAAAGGTATCACAAGGGAAATTAGAAAATACTTTGAGAGAAAAGAAATAAAACCACAACATAGCAAAGCTTACAGCACAGTGTGGTGTGGACATGCTTATACCCCTGCTGAGAGAAAGCAGTGTTACTGGTGGATCGAGAGACCCACCCCACTCCCCGGTTAGACCCTCTCTCCAATGTGCGGCAAAAGCAGAACTGAAGAAACGGCTGGGGGGCCTGAAGAGGCAGAGAGCTCTTGGGCCCCAGATGCTGATGTTTTCCAACCCGAGAAGAAGGTCTCCCAAGTACACAGAATGGGATGGATCCTGGAAAAGGCCTGGTGCCAGGACTGGGGAGGCTTCAACTCTGACCCGTGTGGAATGGGAACGAGAATGGGAAGAGGCTAAGGAAGAAAGAGGACCCCTTAAAACCAGCCTCCCAGTGCTCCTTAAGGTCAAGGGACCAAAGAAGTCATAGGGGCATGGGGCTCCGGGTGTAGAGCATGCAACTCCTGATCTCTGGGTTTAGGTTTGAGCCCCACACTGGGTGTAGAGATTACTTAAAAATCTTAAAAAAAAAAAAGGTCATAAGGGCATATAACAGAGGGCCACAGGTCATGATAAAGATTTTGCTTTGGTCTTTGCATGAGCTAGAGGTTGGGAGGATGCACTTCCACATGTCTGCAGAAGGGAGTGACAAGGGGAAGGGAAATAAACTTTCCTCTAAGAGCTAGTAAGAAGGAAAAACTCTCCCACTGGGAGAAAGTGGCCCAAACACTATTAACACTCTCTGCCCTTCTGAACTCTTGCCTGTCTTCCCACCCACTGGGCTTTTTCACTGTTTTAACCTTGCTCTCCACAGTCTGGGGCTCTTTCCCTTGCTCCAAAATAAAGATGATATTCAAGTCAGGAAGAGGGATTCCTGCTTATAAAAAAAAAGGAACATGATGTGCTGTGTCTTTTCCAGAATAAAATTCCAGCCCTTTGTTCAACTGAGGAGAGAGGATGTTACAGATGTGTCTAGAAAAAATTTTTCACAAACTTGTTCAGTCTCTCCTGAATGCTTAAGGGATGTTTTTAAAGCATAGATATCCAGCTCTCTTCCAAGAACTACTGAGTCAAAAGTACAGGGATAAAAGTGGATCTAGAATCAGATATTTTTTTAAAGTTTGCCATAACGGGGGTGCCTGGGTGGCTTGGATGGTTAAGTGTCTGCCTTCAGCTCAGGTCATGATCCCAGGGTCCTGGGATCGAGTCCCGCATCAGGCTCCCTGCTCAGCGGGGAGCCTGCTTCTCCCTCTGCCTCTCTCTCTCTCTCTGTGACTCTCATGAATAAATAAATAAAACATTTTAAAAAATAAATTAAAAAAAATAAAGTTTGCCATAAGGTTTTGTTGTTACTTAGCTTCTGGAAGCGTCACTAATCTAGGATGGAGTGGGAAGATCATCTGAAGAAAGGAGGAGGTGAAGGTCTAGATGCTGCCTCATAAACTTTTTCATTTCAGAAGGTACAGGGCCTCAATCTCAGTCAAGCAGAGCAGGGGCTCCTAAGAGACTCACTGGGGCAGATCCCGACTTCTGGAGGAACATTATCCTCACCCAGGGAGACCAGGTTCCTGTAGTTCTCCACCATCACGTCCCTGTACAAGGCCCTCTGAGCAGGGTCCAGGCACTCCCACTCCTCCTGAGAGAATTCTATGGCCACATCCCTGAATGTCATGCGTCCCTGAAATGAAAAACACATTTCACCAAGGAACCTTGGGGAGAATTCTCATGTTCACACAAAATGTGAGCAGGAAAGGGATGTCAGGATTGATTCAACTGAAATGAATGTTTGGACATCATTTTGAGCAAGAATAGATAACTGTGAGCAATTTATATATCCCTAATTTTGTTTTATTATGTTTTTCCATCAGAGGATATCAGATCTACTAAAACACTATAGATTTCCCATTTTTGTGGAAAATAAAAGAACTATATAAATGAAAAATGTCCAACACACGGTTGTTTATGTGGACATGGATATTATGTTCTCCACACTAGTGACAGTTCTACACACCTAGAGGATCTAGAGCACAAGAGGCATCTTCAGGTGTGACAAATGATCTGCAAAAATACAAATTACATGTTTCCATTTAAAGTCAGACATTAAACCATTATGGAGTTGATTAGCCAAATGGAGTTTATTCTACTAAAAAAAGAAACCCCAATTCATGAGGAGGAACTTCACTAATGTTGTACGTTAATTTAACAGATTAAGTAGGACACAGATTGATCACAGCAGCTCTTGGAAGAAATACTGGATGATTAAAAATCATGGCAAACTGGACATTTAAAAACCTGTTATTGAGCAAGACCATTCCACCAAGCATCACAATCCATAGTGAGCACTGGCAGCATTTCCACCACAGGTGAGACTGAGGCCCGTGGGCCAGCCAGGTTCCTGCCAGTCAGCACTGCATGGTATGCCTGAGGCCCGACCAGGTGGCGAGTCACCCCTTCCCATTAGCAGTTGTACCGGGACCTCTATTTGCAAGACATTTCCCAGCCTATGTGAAGAGAAAACTTTACTGAAAGACAGAACAAAGACATCAAAGACTGACAAGCGTAATTCTTACTGGAAGATGTGGTGACATAAAGACCTCAGTGATTTAGAAATTCAAAGCAATTCAAATGCAGAAGAAACGTGGGACTTAAAAGGAAAAAAAAATCTCCATCATGTTGAGGAGAAATAATTTTGAGAAGAAAAAATGGAGAGCCTTGCCAAATGACACAGGAACCTGTTAATGTGTGTGTGTTACATGAAATTTTTCAATCAATGAAATAAATAGCTACGAGACATACACTAAAAAGCCAAATCAAAAAAAAAAAAAAAAAGCCAAATCAAAGAGATTATTTTAAACAAAGGAGTACTAAATGGAACACAGTACTTTGAGATTATGCTAGGTGAGGTCTTCCAAAGTAAGATCAGAAAGCAGAGGGCAAGAAGGATTTAGGTTTCACTGCAAAACACTGATAATATAAGAAAGACACAAGCCTGTATGTAAAGAATTAAACTACAAAATATAAGATTGCTCCTAAAAATGGGGCACCTGGGTGGCTCAGTTGGTTAAGCGACTGCCTTCGGCTCAGGTCATGATCCTGGAGTCCCGGGATCAAGTCCCACGTCGGGCTCCCTGCTCAGCGGGGAGTCTGCCTCTCTCTCTGACCCTCCCCCCTCTCATGCCCTCTATCTCATTCTCTCTCTCAAATAAATAAATAAAATCTTAAAAAAAAAAAAAAAAAGATTGCTCCTAAAAATATATCAAAGGAAAACAGCAAAATATGAAAAACCATGTTTTATTCCACAAAAATAATGAAAGTTACAAGTAGGTAGAAAATGGAAATACAAGGGATTGTCCTTTCCCCCGCAATTTTCAAAACACAAAGAGATTATGGTACCAAGTTTTGCTTACATGGGGCGGGGAAGGGGGGGAGGTGGGAATCTCACGTGTTGTTTTGGGACAGGGTACTTTGCAGCTTTAGGAGACCACATCGGACAGAATCTGTCCTTGTATAATGCACTGTCCTTAACCCGGTAATCACAGGTCAAGAGAAATCCTCAGACATCTGCAGAGAGGTCGGTCTGCTCATACACAGCCACTGTGGCATTCTTTGTATCAGTGAGAAATGGGAAAGTCCCACGTGTCTTCACTAAGAAAATGCTCCAGTGAGGATTGAAGAGCAAGCTATGTCTGTGTTTATTAACAGGAAAACAACCTCTAGACATGCTGTGTACATTTTTTAAACTTGCAGAATAAAATGTTACAACAAACTTCATTGAGGAGTTTCTTCTAAAATTTTATAACAATGTGTAAATGCATTTTTACAAGGTTTGGACTGACTCTTGCCACAGAACTGACAACAGTGGTTCCCCACTGAGACACAAATGGGGGAGGACACGACAGGGAGGGGCGTCCCCTTCCTGTTACATCTTAGTGCCTAAGCTGCTGCTTTGTTAGTTTAATCAGTCAATCAATACATCTATGCATACATGAGATTTTGGAAATAAAAGAGATATAATACTTAAAAATAATGGTGGAACCAGAATTTGGCTACAGCATCTCTGAGGGCAAAGAGTAAGTTCTATGCTACACATCTTGGCTACATTGCGACCATTTTTACCTAGAACATCTGCTGCACAAGAGTTGCTACAGGAATGCCATGGTCAATGTGGGACAGATGTGCTGAGAATGATTTTTAAAACCTCTTACTGTTGGCTATTTAGGTTGATTCCATATTTTAAAGCCAATTATGGAGGAAAAAAATCCTATTGATACCTACTTCTGAACTTTATTCTAAATCATTAGTATTTTAGAACCAGAAACACCATGGTTCACTTGTTTAGCTCTGAATGCATTATAAAGTCAGGCAGAGCTGATTTCCTCTTATCGAGCTTGTTTTCCAGAATTTTCCAACTATTCTTACACATTAATACATGACTCCCACAAGTAGCTTCTTTGATCCTGGCTACAGAGAGCTGACAGTGCATCCAGATGTGGCCCCTAAAACAATCCCTGCTGCCCAACCATACTGACACCACGGGGCCCACCCACACCTGTCTCCAATCCACGCCTGGTGTAAAGCCCATCAGGATGCGCCCGGGGTGGGGGGGCGAAGGGGGGCTCCTCAAAGGCTCCACGTCACTGGGTCACCATGAGATGCAATCTAAGTGGAGAGGAGAGGGACTGAGGGAAGACCTGGGGGAATGTGGACAGACACAGCTCAGGCGGGACACTTCAGAGAAGATCAGCGAGTCCAACAAGGGCACAGCAGGAATGAGAAGAGAGAAAGTCAACCAAGAATATGACTTTACCTGACAAACAGCCATTCCTGACTCCCTCCTTTCCTCTTCCTCCTCCTCTAAGCTGCTTCTTCCTCAGACAAGATCAGTCTTGAGAATTCAATCCTAAGGATCAAGAATCTGCAGTTTAATGCTTAGAATCAATCTACGTCCTTCCTGCAGCACAACGTCCCACAGGGAGACCTCTCCGTGTGGCAACGACAGTCCTCTGCTGCCCACTGCCACAGGAGGGGGGCTCAGGGACAGTGACCTGCTCCAGACACCAACAAGTGAGTGTCCCCACCCCTTTCTTCACAACTGGCTCCCACCCTGGTGAAGCCCCCCCCGCAACTGCAGCAGTGGGGACCTGGGCTGGACCCGACGTTCCCCTCCAGGTCACAGACCCGCCCTGATCACACCCACGCAGAGCAGGGCCCCCTCCCCTCTCCCTCAGAAACAGAGGACCAGAGCCTTGGTGCTCAATGCTGGATACACATCAGAAGCACCTGGGACACTTCAACTGGTACTGAGGCTGGGCCCTATCCCCCCTTGACCACTGGAAGGGGACTCTCTGGGAGGGCCACCAGAGCGGTATCTGCAATCCAGTGTGAGGCTGGCTGCAGCGCACTCAGGAGGCCAGCCCAGCACACCTCCCACCTTCTGGCTCTGCTCACCCCTGGGGCCTTGCTGTCATGAGTATCCAGCCAGTGGAAGGGGAAGGAGCAGAAAGAAATATGCAGAGCAGGCAAAAGGGACCAGAACTGAGGGTGAGGGAGTAGATGGAATGTTAAAGGGAGTGGTGGTGGGAGGACAGAAGCCAGAGAAGGCAGCCACTGAGGGGTGGTATCAGAACAAAGACCCAAGGCAAGAAGAGACTTCGCCACCTGCATGTGAGAGGCCAGAGACTTCTAGGCAGGACACGCATGTGAAGACCCTGAGGTAGTGGCATTTTGGGCTCCGGAAAGGGCAGGGAGGCCTCTATGGCTGGAGCCAGGTGAGTGGAGGAGAGGTGGAGGAGGTAAGATCAGAGAGTATTAAAGGAAGCAGATCAGAAAGTTCCAAAGCAGATTAGAATTCTTCAAGCTTTCCCCCTATACCTGAGAAGACTTCTGGAAACCATGTATTCCCTTACCCATTTTGAGAAAACATCTGATTTTTATTTCTTTTGTCCTAAGTTAAAACACTAATAAGTAATGGGTCTTGTATACTTTGCAAACATGCCAAGATGCCCAGCTAGGCTGCAGGAAATACAGGGTCGCCCTATATGCGGAGGCAGACTGCAGGGGACACTTTTGGAGGAGTTTGGGGGGTCACTGCTGGACATATTAAGGTGAAGGCGCCAGACTGTTGTCCCAGCAGAGATGTTGAGGCAGCTGGATACAGGACCCTGGTTTCAGGGAAGAGGTCTGGAGGTCTGGGTGGAGCAGTGAAAGGAGACATCAGTGTTCAAAGTCGTGAGATGGAGTGACGTGGAAAGGCAGGAGGTGGAGACAGAAGAGAAGGGGTTCAGGGACTAAGCCTAGGGGTGCTTCCACAGAGACCAGGGAGTTAGGGGAAACAGGCACAGGAAATAGACACATGAACAGGGAGAAGAAAATTAAAACAGGTAACTGGAAGACAGATTTACTTTTAAAAAAGTAGTGTGATGTGGAAGCCAAGAGAAAGTGCTTCAGGAAGAGGGAGCCCAGCTCGCTATAGCTAGGACCAGCGTGGTAAGAGCACACCAATTCCTGGACTGAGAAGTGGGGAGGTCCCCAGTGACTCAGACATGGAAAGTCTCAGCGGCATGGTGGATATGAAAGTGAGAACTGGGGGTGCCTGGGTGGTTCAGTCGGTTAAGTGTCTGCCTTTGGCTGAGGTCATGATCCCAGGGTCCTAGGATTGAGCCCCACGTAATGCTCCCTGCTCAGTGGGGAGTCTGTTTCTCCCTCTCCTTCTGCCCTTCCCCCTGCCCATGCACTCTTCTCTCTCTCTCGAATAAATAAATAAAATCTTAAAAAAAAAAAAAAAACACAACTGGAAGCAAGATCTAAAGCAGAGTATAAGCATGTGTTTAGTGTATTCTGCTCTGAAATGGAGCATAAGAAAGAGCAATTACCAGAGTGGGAAATGTAGCTAATAGAGGATGTTTTATTTTAAAGAGGCGAGAATGTAGTAAAAGGCTCTTTATTTTTGTGGATTCTTTTTAAGATGAGACATTACCATATGTATATGGTGAACAAAGTAACTGCCTAGAGGTAAGGTAAGAATTGATGAGCAGTGGCAGTGTGCAAAAGATCCTGAGACTGTTGTACTGTTCGACCTTACCGCCCCTCGCTGCTGTTCCCATAGACCCACTTCCAGCAAGCCTGCCCCAGTGAAAACACCCACCACCTGGGCCCCAGTCCCCCACTGCCTCCCTTCTTGACTCAGACACTCCTGCAAGTTCCCATCGTGTTTGTTCTACAATCCCAGTGGACACCCCACATTATTAAAGGACAGAACCTCCTAATCACCTATACACTGCCGAAGAATCCCACACTGTGTTCCTTACATCAATCTTTCGTTTTGGCAGGAAGACACCCACCACCCCAGGATCCGATATGTTCCTTCTTGGAGACTATCTAAACTCAGATATCTCCATAATGTCATAATATAAGAGTAATGTCTGACATGATGTACATACTCCAGCAAGACTCAGGTATCTACTAATGAAATGCCCCAAAATGTCATTTGTAGCCCACAAAACACGTGTGATACTTTCAGTAATGCTTTGCTTGTAATAATGAGATCCCCGACCAAAACCACTACAGATTACCACCCAAATGGTGACACTTTCCCTTCAACCCCTTATGGGTCCTAAGAGACCCCACAGAAGTCAACCACATAAACACCAGATGGGGCTTCTTGGATCCACCCCTCAGGATTCAGGCACAAACTGCCCCACAGCTGTCAGTTTGGCTGCTGACAACTAGACAGCTCACTCCCTCCTTGTAAACTGACTCAGCTAAAGGGAGCAGTGGCCTCTTCATCGCAGCACCTGGCTGGGCAGCCAGTGTCCAATGTCTGGTCAATGCAGGAAAGAGAAGCCTGCTCCTTCCCTCAAATTGGACCAACTCTGGAGAGTCACCCCACCTCCAGAGCTCTCTGCTGTAGCCCTACAGTGGGGTCTGGATTTTTGTCCTGAGGGCAACAGGAAGCCAATGAAGGGATTACAGCCAGGGGATCCCTTCCTTGCTGTTTGTCCATCTGCTGTCACCCACTGCCCCCCTTTCTGTCCCAGCACCACCTCTGTCTGGCTGTCACGGCTCCAATTCTTCTATTCCTTCCCCCACAATCTCAGTCTGATGTATCTGCTCCTTGCTATCCCACTCCTGTCCCCGGTTAAGGTCTGTCTCGTCCAGTGTGCTACCCTTCACCTCTGGAGATACCTTTTAATCTAGATTTCTCTATTTTCTTCTCCCTCTACTTTTCTCTGGTTCACTCCACTCTTTTTTTTTTTTTTAAGATTTTTTATTTTATTTATTTGAGAGAGAGAGAGAACACATGAGAGGGGATAGGGTCAGAGGACGAAGCAGACTCCCCGCCGAGCAGGGAGCCCGATGCGGGACTCGATCCCGGGACTCCAGGATCATGACCTGAGCCGAAGGCAGTCGCTCAACCAACTGAGCCACCCAGGCGCCCTGGTTCGCTCCACTCTTACTGTCTCTCCACATCCACCTGCTCTGCCCAGTTCTACCCTCTCTTCCTTCCTTTCTCTCACACGTAGTCTTTCTCGTTCTCCGTCAGACTGTCTCTGCTTCGCCCCACACCCTCACACTCACAGGTATGGGACAAAAACGTTCTTTGCCTGGGAAGAACACTTTTCCAGTAGGGCTTCAGGAATGGAAACACACGATGACAAGCAGAAGCATGTGGTTTGTGCGGAACAAACCCCTGGGGCGGTGAGTACAAAGTAGGCAAGGAGGGCCGGCTCCGGAGGTCGCGTAGGTGGAGGGGGCGTCAGGGGAGGGTCGGTGCCTGCAGAGCCCCGAGGCCACGGAGATGGGGCGTCGGGGTCTGCACGAGCGCCTCCGCCCTGGGGGCCACCGAGGGAAGACTCACACAGCGTGGCTGAGAGGCGGAAAGGGCCGGAGCGTGGCGGGAGTCCTGGAAGGGTTTTCAGAGGGAAAAGTCCGCAATCGCTGTCTACCTGGACGGAGGGCGGTTACGCGCCTCGGCAACTTTAACTCGAAAAAGACGTGGACCCCCGGACCCGCAGCGGAGCTCCCAGGCCTGCAATATCTGACGGTGCTGCCGGGAATCATTGGGCGCGGGAGCGGTTTTATCTATGAGGCAACCCCAAAGTCCGGGTTGCGGATCGGAGCCCTGGGGCGAGGGTCGGGTCCCACAAAGGCCACTGTTGAACCAAAAATCTGACACCGACTCACCTGACTGTGCCCTTCCCTCAGCTTCCGGGTCTGCAGGGTACTGCGCCTGCGCGGCGTGCTGCGGGGGCGGGGGGACGGGCCGTGGACGGTGGCCTGGGCTGGACAGAAGGGGCGTGGCCGACGTAGGACCGGGGTCTGGACCTCGGTCCCGCCTCTCAACATTTCCTGCCTTTTCAGCCCGAAGGTACCTTACTCTCAGCTTTTCAGTTTGTTTGAATCTCTTTGGGGTCTCGTGGACCGAACAGTCTCCTGGCTATTTTTTTTATTTTTTATTTTATTTATTTACTCGACAGAGAGAGAGACAGCGAGAGCGGGAACACAAGCAGGGGGAGTGGGAGAGGGAGAAGCAGGGCTCCCGCAGAGCAGGGAGCCCGATGTGGGGCTCGATCCCAGGACCCTGGGATCATGACCTGAGCCGAAGGCAGACGCTTAACGACCGAGCCGCCCAGGCGCCCCTCTCCTGGCTATTTTAAGTTAATGTTTCAAACAACTTAGTTGTGAGTGCCGCTTATATTAGAAGCTGAGATGTTTTCCTGTTAAACTGAAAGCTCAGCGGGCGGTGTTGGGGAATATGATTAAAAACAAAATCGTCTCCCAACCCAGCAATCCTCTCCACAAAGGTAGTAGAGGAAAAAAACAGTTTCATAAGTGAATAAGCATTAAACCAGAATGTGATGTGCATCACAGGCAATCTTGAGAGATCGCAGAAATGAATTTCACCCTGTCATAAAAGACAAGGGGATACGAAGGGTTACATACATGTTCTCAAGATAGATCATAGCTCGTTCTCAAAAAGACATGACAGCACCATTTGTCACACATAGCTCATCCTAACATCCCCAGGTAACCTGGGTGGCCATTTGTGTTAGCTAACTGGCTTTAACCAGAGGGAAAACAAACTTCTCGTATCTCTATGACAGGAGGGAGTTTTGTCACTCAGAGCAAGGCACCTGCTGAGTTAGGCACCGATCCTCCCACAGGAATTGCAAGATAAATATACTATTTCCTTTGATGTTTACATTTCAAAGAGATGGCTCCCAGATCTTGAGCAAACATTCCTGAGTTACAGTGTTGGCGAGAGCCTTATTTAGCTTTTCAAAGACGTAGATATATTTCAAACAGGAAGACAAAGAACTTAAAAGTTTTCTAGGGGAAATGCTCTAGGAAAAGGGAGGAAGAAAAGTCTCTTTGCTTTTTTTTTTTTTCCCAAGAGAGAGACCTCTTTTCTTTCTCTCATTTTTAGTTTATATTTTTCCTTACAGAAACAATATGCATTCATTCACTAAAGCAATATTGTTTTTTAACATCTGCGATGGGCTCACAAGAATGGTAGTGTGCACTACATCTCAGGAACTGTGCTGGGAATGTCACATAAATTATGTGAGTTAATTCTTGTAATACCGTGGGAGTTGGGTTTGTTTGTTTTTTTTTTTTAAAGATTTTATTTTTATTTATTCATGAGAGACAGAGAGAGAGAGGCAGAGGGAGAAGCAGGCTCCCAAGGAGCAGGAAGCCCGATGCGGGACTCGATCCCAGGACCCTGAGATCATGACCTGAGCCGAAGGCAGACGCTCAACCATCTGAGCCACCCAGGTGCCCGGAGTTGGGTTTTATATATCCATTTTCCTCAGGAGGATTTAGGTGCTGGGCTTTTCCCTATCTGGGGGTGGAGATTCTCTGTGTCTCTTTTGTTTCCCTATGACTGATCATTAAAATGGTCTTCATGTGACGGTAGCGCAATATACACGGAAGAAAAGGAAACAAAGGAGTGGTGGGATTAGTGGTTCTGAGGGATTTTCTGATGGTTCGTTCATTTGTGCTCATGTATTTTGTTTTTAACATGTGGAGTGACCAGCGGGGCCCCCAGGAGTTGGAGACATCATGCTTTGAGGAATTCCCTATACATAGGTTATAACCAAAAGAACAAATTTTCATTTACCAAATTTTAAGGACTTTTGCTCTCCTTTATGTGCATCTGGGTATCCAGAAAATGAGTGCCAGTCCTGGATGGGCAGCCAGAGGACCTGCCCTGAACTAAGTTCTCTAAGCAGTTCTCAGGAGGTAGGACCTCAGGGTGGTTGTGGGTAGGAGGAGTGCAAGAGGAAAATTCTGTATCTAAGAGGTTATTTGAGAGAGTGCCTGGTCTCACCGTTCTGTTAAACCCTGGGGACCCCAGCTAGGCAGAAGAGATTGCCTTCCAGGGTGCAGATTCTGGAGGCAGCTGAGCTCTGTGTGCATACTTGTGTAAGGCCAAAAGTATGACATAGAATTCTAAGAAATTTTGAGGAGCAGCTTTAGCGAGGACCTGGGAGGGCTTCATACGTTTATATGGCATGGGGTAGTTGTGGGGAGCTAGTGCCAGGCTCTGTGCGGTTCTAGAGACACATGGATTGTGGGAGGTGCTGCATTCAGGCCCTGAGAGGCCGCGGGCTTCTCTGTGTGCATGCCCAAAGGTTTGGATAGGAAGGAAGAGGCAGAATGGGGGAGAGTAGGGGAGATCAAGTACCCCCAGGGACAGCGCAGGATGGTGGTAGGACTGGTTTGTGCTACATACTCATGTCCAGGCAGGGTTCTGCCACTTCTTTGGGTCTTCATTCTCTTGTGCAGGCTCCCTTATACATGTAAAAAAAAATCAATAAAATGTGTCTGCTTTTCTCCTGTGAATCTTAGGTCAGTTTAATGCCTTTTTTATGATTTTATTTATTTATTTGACAGAGACAGCATGAGAGAGGGAACACAAGCAGGGGGTGTGGGAGAGGGAGAAGCAGGCACCCCGCGGAGCAGGGATGCAGGGCTCCATCCCAGGACCCTGGGATCATTACCTGAGCTGAAGGCAGACGCTTAATGACTGAGCCACCCAAGCGCCCCATGCCAGTTTGATTCTTAAGCCCGGCCAGAGACTCAAGAGGGAAGGAGAGAATTTCCCCCCTACAGAACAATGCTTGTTAGAATGACTTAACTTTACTTAAGTTTCTCTCCTTCCCAAAAGCTCAGAATTTAGACCCCTTGAGCACTGTAATTAAGAACAACCCCACCATTATAACAGCCCCTCCCAAGAATAGGCAACTTCAAGGTAAAACATTCTCTGATCAGTTACAGGTCTTGCCACAGGCTCATCCATTCTCCTCTGTTTTTTTCTAGACCTGTTTACCCCTGAAACAAAGGAAGATCACTTTTCTGTCTGGCTTTGGAGACATTTGTAGATGTGGTTGGAATGTTTTCCCTAATACAATATCCTCTCAAATAAAACCTCTCCTTACCTAAGTTTGATTTTTTTTTTAATTCACGAGTGGTAAATATTTTAGTTGATTTATCTGGGTTAGAAAGTGTTATTCTCTGTATTTGTGTCAGAGGGTTTAATATATATTCATTAGGTCAAACTAGTTCCTGTGTTTTTCATATTTTTGAATCTTTAATAAGTGGCACCTGTTTTTAACTGATATTACAGGGAGACATATCAAAATATTCCTGTAAATGAGGATATATCCTTTTTTAATTTCTTGTGAATATATTTATTTTGCTCTCGACAATTTTACAAGCAACAAAATTCATAAACAAAATAGATTCATGACTCTCACAATTAACTTCTCTACTGTTCTGGGTTTAATTTAAAGTTCCACCATCAGCTTATTTCTTTGCTTGGGATTATGGAAGTCCATGGGGAAACTTCTTTCTTGCCAACACGCATGGTATAGGGAAGGAAAAATAATTTTCCATCTACTCTTCTGAGTTCTTGGCTGAGACCCCTGTAATAAAAGATAGATTAACAGGAGAAAAACAAACATGTTTATGAACACGTATTATCTCATATATACACGGGAGAGACCCACAGAAAACCTAAGTAACTCCCCAGGTGGCCTAAAGCCACCTACTGAAATACCACCTTCCACTAAGGACAAAAGAAAGATGGGGCAGGGGCGCCTGGGTAGCTCAGTCGTTAAGCGTCTGCCTTCGGCTCGGGTCATGATCCCAGGGTCCTGGGATCGAGCCCTGCATCGGGCTCTCTGTTCAGCGGGGAGCCTGCTTCTCCCTCTCCCACTCCTGCTTGTGTTCCCTCTCTCACTGTCTCTCTCTGTCAAATAAATAAATAAAATCTTAAAAAAAAAAAAAAAAAAAAAAGATGGGGCAAAGCCAACTATGAAGACTTGACCAAAGAAAGCTGCGTAAACAAAAGTAAAACTTGTTAGGCTTTTGATAAAATTTTTGCATAGAGTCATCCTTCTCTTCCCCTATAAAGAGGGAGACACCTGTAAAAATAGAGCTTTCTGTTAAATGTAATTCTCCTTACAAAAGGTAACTTCTCTATGGTTAAGTGAATAATTTATATCTCCATATTATTATTTATCTACATACATATTCTTTATCTCATGATTTTTTAAAAGATTTTATTTATTTGACAGAGAGTGAGCACAAGCAGGGGGGAGTGGCAGATGGAGAAGCAGGCTCCCCGCTGAGCAAGGAGCCTGATGCGGAACTCAGGACTCAATCCCAGGACCCCTGGATCATGATCTGAGCTGAAAGCAGATGCTTAACCAACTGAACCATTCAGGTATATCGATATAGATAGATATTCTAAAGCTTTATTTTTTAAAAAACCTAAATAAATACCCTAGATATATTGCAAGATTATTTTTAGGTGAAAATAAACTGAAATGTCTTTTAAGGACTATATATTTTACGGGCTTTGTTATCCACATCTGCCAGAACATTCAGAAATAGAAAACAAAGAAAACCACTAAAATATACTACCTTTACAAAAAAGTAATCTCTACACCCAATATGGCGCTCGAACTCAGGCTGGCAAAATCAAGAGTTGACTGCTCTACCGACTGAGCCAGCCGGGCTCCCCGCTAAAATTTTTAAATAAAAAACATGCTTTCTAATCATCTTCAGAGTGATTGTAAATTTGAAATTGTTATATTTAGAAATTACGACTTAACCATATTGTGATGCCAACAGTGTTGATCTCGAATGCATTTGAGTATAATTCATCTCAAGTGTGGAACAATATAATAAGTATAAAAACAGCCATGCAATTTAATCTTTTTTTAAAGTTACTGATTTTTTTTTTAAAGATTTTATTTATTTATTTGAGAGAGAGAGAGTGAGAGACAGAGAGCACGAGAGGGAAGAGGGCAGAGGGAGAAGCAGACTCCCCGCCGAGCAGGGAGCCCGATGCGGGACTCGATCCCGGGATTCCAGGATCATGACCTGAGCCGAAGGCAGTCGCTTAACCGACTGAGCCACCCAGGCGCCCCATCTTTCTTTTTTTTTTTAATAAAGATTTTATTTATTTGAGAGAGAATGAGATAGAGAGAGAGCATGAGAGGGGGGAGGGTCAGAGGGAGAAGCAGGCTCTTCGCCGAGCAGGGAGCCCGATGCGGGGCTCGATCCCGGGACTCCAGGATCACGACCTGAGCCGAAGGCAGTCGCTCAACCAACTGAGCCACCCAGGCGCCCACATAAATAAAATCTTTTTTTGTTTTTAAAGATTTTATTTATTTATTTGAGAGAGAGAGAATGAGAGACAGAGAGCACGAGAGGGAAGAGGGCAGAGGGAGAAGCAGACTCCCCGCCGAGCAGGGAGCCCGATGCGGGACTCGATCCCGGGACTCCAGGATCACAACCCGAGCCGAAGGCAGTCGCTTAACCGACTGAGCCACCCAGGCGCCCTATTTATTTTTTTTTAAAGGTTTTACTTATTTATTTGACAGAGACACAGCGAGAGAGGGAACACAAGCAAGGGGAGTGGGAGAGGGAGAAACAGGCTTCCCGCGGAGCAGGAGCCCGATGCGGGGCTCGATCCCAGGACCCTGGGATCATGACCTGAGCCACCCAGGTGCCCCTAAAGTTACTGATTTTTTTAAAGTAACATATTGTTACACGCCTTAGCCCTCCTAGTCCCACGGCTCAGGTCTTGCCCCTGGGAAAATCTCTGCAACCCCACAGGGTTGAGTCCCCGACTCCCAGGTGAATGGACAGTAGAGACGGAAACGACGCTCTGGGCGCCCTAATGAGACTGCACATGGCGCCCAGGCATCGCCTACACATACTCCCGTTTTCGTTTCGTTACGTTGCAGCCGTGTTCCGGGACCCAGCCACCGCCCACATGCACCTCGCACCGAGGTCCCAGCTCCCAGACGGCGGAGCTGCTCCAACTTCTCTGGCGGGACCTGAACCGTTCTCAGCTGTGAAGAGGCTAACCTCTTACTCTCCAACGTAAGTGGCGCCCACAAAACTCTCAGTTCTTACCTTAAAATTGAAACATTAACGTGAAAAAGAAAGCAACGCTGCTGCCCAGGACAAGAAACGGGACTCGAGCGCGCCTCAACCCTGAAAGCCCGGGAGCGAACCCCAGGTCCCGCCCCGCACCGGCCCAGCCCCAGCCTGACCTCGCCCCGCCAACGCCTCGTCTCTATGGTTACCGCCAGCCCCGCCCCCCCAGGCCTCGCTCCCCCTCCCGCCGTCCCCTCGCGGGCTGGCTTTTGCTGCGCGCCCCGCCCAGGCCCCGCCTCTTCCCTCTGCGCGCGCGCAGTTGTCTGCGGACCCGGAAGCGGGTTTCGTGGAGCCGAGGCCAGTCTGTGGCGTGTGAGTTTCGTCTTTCTTGCTTAAACCTGCGCCTCGCAGTCCCTCCCCGACAGCACCCCAAAATTCAGGCGCTTCCGTGGGAGGCCGGGGCTGCCCTTTCGGTTGGAAATCCGCGAGGTGGGTCCGCGCCTTTCTCAGCCCCTAGAGGGCAGCGCCGGCCGCCCCTCAGGAGAGGCTGGTCCTCACCTGGGCCGAGAGAGAGGGGCGAGCTCAGCCCTCCGCGGAGACTCGCGCGCTTCCCCTCACCTCGCGTCCCGCTCGGCCGGCTCCTCTGCCCCGCAGGCCAACGCCCGTCAGTCCTCGCCTCTCCTTACCCTGTGTTGGGGAGGTGACTAAAAAGGCTCTTTTTTTTTTTTTTAAAGATTTTATTTATTTATTTGAGACAGAATGAGAGAGAGAGAGCACATGAGAGGGGGGAGGGTCAGAGGGAGAAGCAGACCCCCCGCCGAGCAGGGAGCCCGATGCGGGACTCGATCCCCGGACTCCAGGATCATGACCTGAGCCGAAGGCAGTCGCTCAACCAACTGAGCCACCCAGGCGCCCGATGGTTTAATTTTTTTTAAAGATTTTATTTATTTATTTGAGAGAGCGAGAATGAGAGACAGAGAGAGAGCATGAAAGGGGGGAGGGTCAGAGGGAGAAGCAGGCTCCTCGCCGAGCAGGGAGCCCGATGCGGGACTCGATCCCGGGACTCCAGGATCACGACCTGAGCCGAAGGCAGTCGCTTAACCAACCGAGCCCCCCAGGCGCCCTAAAAAGGGCCTGTCTTGAGGCAGCCAGTGCACCCCGCACTGGGTAATGTGCTCTTGTGGGAGGCGGCGGGCATCTTACTACATCCCCCTTCTGCGTGAGAGGAACCCGGAGAAGAGGAGGGGCTGTCCACCTTAAAAACACAAGTCCGTCATTTTACTAGCAAAATGAGTTTATTCTGGGAGAAACAGAGGAATTGCAGTTTGGGACATGCATGGCGTGCATAAGCAAGTCGGGAGAGAAAAGGAAGGTCAGCTTTTATTTTTGGGAGGAAATTGGGGCCGGGTTGCGTTAAACAAAAGTTCATTGGAGAACAAGCGTGGAGGTGGTGCCTGCAAGTGGTGGTTAGTGCGTTTGTTGCTGGGGCAGGAAGGGATCTTCCTTTTTTTCTTAAAAGCAGGAGGTGAAATTCTCGTGTAAAAAATTCCCTCCCTTTTTAAAAATAATTCTCTTCTCTTTTCTTGCTGGTAAAGCAGGGTGCAGGGAGTGGTACTTGCCTGGGAGCTCCCACTTCGGGGTTTCCCACTCCTTTTTAAATGAGGTTTCCTCATTTATTTTCACAAGACCCACTGAGAGAATTATAGAAAAATGAACAAAGAAGAATGAGGGAGAACCACAAACAGATGGAAAAGTAGCAGCAGTGGGAGAAAAGAAGATGGAGAAATTTATTTATTTATTTACTTTATTTATTTTAAAGATTTTATTTATTTATTTGAGAGAGAGAGAATGAGAGACAGAGAGCATGAGAGGGAGAAGGGTCAGAGGGAGAAGCAGACTCCCTGCCGAGCAGGGAGCCCGATGCGGGACTCGATCCCGGGACTCCAGGATCATGACCTGAGCCGAAGGCAGTCGCTTAACCAACTGAGCCACCCAGGCGCCCCGAAGATGGAGAAATTTAGAGTAAGAAGGAGATCTACAGGGAGATAGATAATGGGAAACAAACTGTGGAGAGGAGCCACCCCTTTTTTTGAAGATGGGCAATGGGAGCATAGGTAACAAAGGGGGAGGCACTTCCCAGGCAGTGAGGGGAGAGTTTAAAAGAACTGGAGTCGTGGCAGGGGCTATTGGGTGCCCAGTCGGTTAAGCATCAAACTCTCTTGCTATCTCAGGTCATGATCTCAGGGTCATGGGATGGAGCCCCAAGTCAGGCTCCCGGCTCAGTGGGGAGTCTGCTCAGTATTCTCTCTCTCTCTCTCTCTGCACCCCCCACCCTACGATCTCTCTTTCTCTCTCAAATAAATAAATAAATCTTAAAAAAAAAGAGTTGAAGTCACGGCAGACAGAGCAATGTGGTGCTGGAGGAAAGGAGGGGGCAATGGGAGACAGGAACAGAGGGAGAAACAGCAGGTAGGAAGCTGAGCAAGCTGGGGGTGCCAGAGAGTGGGGACAAAGGGGGAGTGGCAGGGAAAGAGCAAACTTAACTGGGAGAGTAGATGGGAAGTAGAGATGGGGGAGGAAAGGGGCAGAAATGTGTGGAGACGGATAATCAGAAAGGTTGGAGAGAGAGCAACAAGATGGGAAACAAGTTGCAGAAAGGGGCAGAGAAGGGGAGAAGTTGCAGAAGGAATCCAGAGAAGGGGAGAAACAGCAAGACAGGAGAGGGGAACAGAGTGAGCAGAAACCCAAGGGGAAAACAGAAAAGCAAGAAGAAAAAAAAAGAAGATGAATATCGAGAGAGAGAGAGAGAGCAAGACAATAGTGAAGAAAGGGACCCAGAGGAGTGATGAATTGATTGGATATGGATGAGTAAGTATGTTACATTGATGCGTAGCTTTATAATACACTTAAAATTAGATTAAATTATGCAGATCAGGATGAGCATTGCAAAACTTCTGTCTAAAAGGCTTGTGCATTTTATAATTATATCAGAAGATAACTTCTATTTGTCATCCTTGTTCAGTCAAGAGGGCAGAGACGGGTCACCTTCATCCCTTTGCCTGGGCTCAGAGGAAGGTGGGGCAAGAAATGACTGTCACTACACCATGCCTTTTTTTTTTTTTAATATTTTATTTATTTGACAGAGAGAGACCCAGCGAGAGAGGGAACACAAGCAGGGGGAGTGGAGGAGGGAGAAGCAGGCTTCCCGCAGAGCAGGGAGCCCGACGAGGGGCTGGATCCCAGGACCCTGGAATCATGACCTGAGCCAAAGGCAGACACTTAACGACTGAGCCACCCAGGCGCCCCTACATGGTGCCTTTTTAAGGAACATTAAAAGTGTTGCTTTTTTGTAATAGATTTACTTTATTCTTCTTCGTTTATATTTGTACTATTTTTCTTTTTGAACCTTAAAATAATCTTGGTTATTTAAGTTTTATTTTTCTATGAATAATTATTAACTTCTGAAGTAAGCTTTGGAGCTATCCTATAAACAGTTTATGGCATTCTTTTCTAACTATGACCTTCCCATTTTTAGGGCCGCCTGGATGGCTCAGTTGGTTAAGTTGGTCGTGATCCTGGGGTCCTGGGATTGAGCCTGCTTCTCCCTCTCCCGCTCCTCCTCCCTCTGCTTGTGCGCACACGCTCTCTATCAAATAAATAAATTTCATAAATAAATAAATAAATATGACCTTGCCACTTTTAAAAATTTTGATCTCATACTTCATTCAACTTAAAATTTTTTTTTAACTTTTTCATTTTTAAGTTGTGTCCAGTTCACACTGAGGTCTGCAGGCTCTCTTCTCTTTGTCATGTATATTGAGAACATTCTTTGGTATATAGTAAGTAATTTTAGATTGTTCCATGTGTACTTGTTAAATATGTCAATAATCTTTTATCTAAGTTGGAACCTGATTTAATCTGTTACTGTGATACTCAGTTTTCTTATCTTTTATGTGATCTATTGAAACAGTGGGCTACAAGTGACCAAATAGATATTCCCCTCAAGTTCCTCTTGTCCATTCTTTGCAAATGTTGACGAATGGGCTGATTTACATGGAAATGTCACCTAACAGAGCCCATCTGTTCCTGATGAGGAAATTTGTGACTATCTTGTTTCTATAGGTGACCCTCTTGCAGTGTTTACAGCAGCAATTCTTATGTGTTCAAAATTCTGTATTTTTTATTTTTTATTTTTTTAAGATTTTTATTTATTTATTGAGAGAGATAGTGACAGAGAGAGAGCATGAGAGGGGGAGAGTCAGAGGGAGAGGCAGACTCCCCGCAGAGCAGGGAGCCCGATGCGGGACTCGATCCCGGGACTTCAGGATCATGACCTGAGCCGAAGGCAGTTGCTTAAACAACTGAGCCACCCAGGTGCCCCAAAATTCTGTATTTTTTAAATCTTTTACTGTGATGTTCTGGAAAAGAGGAACTTATTATTTTTTTTAAAGATTTTATTTATTTATTTGAGACAGAATGAGAGAGAGAGAGAGAGCACATGAGAGGGGGGAGGGTCAGAGGGAGAAGCAGGCTCCCTGCCGAGCAGGGAGCCCGATGCGGGACTCGATCCAGGGACTCGATCCCGGGACTCCAGGATCATGACCTGAGCCGAAGGCAGTCGCTTAACCAACTGAGCCACCCAGGCGCCCTGGAAAAGAGGAATTTAGTGCCTGAGATCATTGTGATCATATCTTGAAAAAAAAGTTTCCTAGGGATGCCTGGCTCGCTCAGTCAGTGGAGCATGTGACTCTTGATCTCAGGGTCATGAGTTTGAGCCCCATGTTGGGCTTAAAGATTATTGAAAAGAAAAGAAATAGAAGTTTCCTTTGCTCAGACATGTGAAAGATGGTCCTGGAATTTTTATTTTTTTATTTATTTTTATTTTATTTTTTTAAAGATTTTATTTATTTATTCATGAGAGACAGAGAGAGAGAGAGAAGCAGGCTCCCAAGGAGCAGGGAGCCCGATGCGGGACTCGATCCTAGGACCCTGGGATCGTGACCTGAGCCGAAGGCAGACGCTTAACCATCTGAGCCACCCAGGCGCCCCGATCCTGGAATTTTTAAGCCTGAAGAGTGATGTGGGCAAGTTCTGCCCACTGGCCCCTTCAGGCCACCATATGAGAATTCAATTACACCACGTTCTGCTTACCCAACGCACACCTTCTCAGGATAACTTGGTGAAATGACTCCCTTGTAGGCCTCAGTGAGCCCACCCCAACATGGACATGATGGACTAGACAGAAACTGATTTTGAGCAACACTGAACCCTGAATTGATTGACAAAATTCAATTCAGTCCCTACGGTGGAGGGCGCCCAGACTGGCTGCCGCACCTTCCTCTGGGGCCCTGTTTAGATGCTAGGGCTGTGGGTTGCGCTGAGTAGTCCTCAGGGAGACCGAGGAGCTGGGGCAGGTGATGAGGATGGTGCCCATTACTCTGGAAATTTCAGCACCAGTTGATCTAACCCTCGCAAGGGTGCTTATTTTACGGGATGTACTGACGCCCAGGAAGCCCTGCAGACCAGGGTCCCCACATGTGTCACCCGCGGTGTCACTGCCCTCTGCCGGCCCCCGCGTCATCCGCACCGTGCACGTCACCAGGGAGCCACTGCATCTCAGGCAGGGGCTTTGCCTTCCAGCACTGATCTGCTCAGGGTCAAGGATCCTAATTTCCCTTCAGGAAGGCTGGGGACAAGGTCAGGAGCCTAAGGGGGCATAAAACAGACACGCTGAAGAACTAGAGGCTCTTGTAATCGGCTGTGAGTGGGGCGAGGAGGGGAGATCTGGGGGCTGCTCTGTCTCTGACGTCCTCACTGAACTGCATCCAGCCAATCTTCGACTGTTTTTAAACTGGACTCCGTGTTGTCCCCGGTTGCTCACAAGTGTTCCCAGCAGGGCCAACTTCTTGGTGTCCGTACTGAAGGCCCAGCGCCCTTGAGTTTGCCCTTGTTCCGTTACTGCTGTGGTCCCTGCGCCTTAGCCCAGTTTGCTCGTGTGTGCCTGCAGGAGAGGTAGGAACATGGGGGGGGAATGGAAGTGAGCCTGGAGGGGTCTGCAGGAGCGACGTGGAAGCAAGTGTGGACCTCTAGATGGCCCGGTGAACGGCATGGGCACGTGTCCCAAGCACAGTTGTGGGGTTGAGGGATGGGTGCAGCCGTGGGAAAGGGGTTTCTCGGTTCTAGCAGGAGCACCTGGAAGTGGGTTTATGGGTAGCTGTGGGGCTGCACGGGTCCGTGTGGGGTGCCATTGTCCTAGCGCGGGTTCCCAGGGACACAGACGCTGAGACTGAGATTTGCCCGCTGGGGTTTATCGGGAGACTCGGGATGACAGCCGAGGAGGCACGAAGGGACTGGGCTTCGGCAGAGACACGTTACCCGGTGCTGTTGGTAGAACCGAGGCCTGAGCTGCGTCCCCAGGGAGAGCTGGCTGCAGCAGGATGGTGCCTTGGTCCTGAGGGGGTGGATCGGGAGCTGCCCCCCAGCGTCCGCTCCACACGGGGACCTCTGTGGGGTCTGTGCAAGAGTCACTCATTAAGTTCTGTGTAGGAATGCAAGACTCATCGTCCAATACAGAGGATTTGGAGGAACGGTCTCAGAGAATCTTCTGGGGGATGACTTGCTATTTTGGATTATTCTGGGTTGCAAGTCAAGAACGATTCAGATGCATTTTGGAGGATCTAAATGAGAGCTTGCAGTGTTTTTAGAAGATGTTGGGGTCTGACTGGGGCATGTGCACCCTTGTAGACATCTGTTGAGAGGGAGGAGGGTCTGAGTGAAGGACTCTTGGCTTTCTTTTTTTTTTTTCTTTAAGTAAGCTCTATGCCCAGTGTGGGGCTCGACTTAACCCTGAGATCAAGAGTCACATGTTCTACTGACTGAGCCAGGTGCCCCGGACTCTTGGCTTCCCGCTCCTGGTCAGCTCCCCCATCCCTCATGATGAAGACCGTTCCAAGGACATACAGGACTCCTGCACATTTCAGTCCCCCCAAATGAAGGCCATGCTAAAGAATGTACCAGTATGACTTCGTGTGCCTGAGATTGTTCCCTGGTCACCAGCCCCACTCACCGTCTCAGGACTGTATGGCATCCTTCCCCCACTGCGTCTTCAGTTTGTGTGTGTCAGGACTTAATTCAGTCAGCATACACAGATGGTGGTTTTGCCCATCTTTCACACGCACACCCCCCCCAAAGCTTTGTATTCACTGTCTTCTTGGCTGTTTAAAACAAAACATTCTCTGTTAACTAATTGCCCCTCTAGTAAGCCCTCCTCTTCCTCGCTCCCTTTCAGAACACCAGCCACTAAAAGCTTGCTTCTACTCTCTTCAAATCCCGCCTCCAGCTGTCGCGTGAACCCCATCCAGTCAAGCCTTCAGCAGCCACTGCGCCCCTGAGACTTTCTCGTTCCGAGTCCCCAGTGACCCCATTTCTCAGTCCAGGATTGAATTTCCTGCCTTCATCTTGCTTCTCCCGTCGGACACAGGTGGCCCATGTGAGCGCTCCCTCTTCCTGGACACGTTTGTTCTCGGTTTGAGGACGTCCCGCTAAGCTTTACTACTCTGTCCGCCTGTTGGGTTCCCGATCACTGTCGCCTCGCAGCTTTCCTGCTGGTGTCTGCCGAACTGCCTGATCTCTGGGTGTGGGGCGCCCCACGGTCTAGTCCTGGTACCTCTTCTGTGTCTACACCCCTGCCTTTCCTCATCCCCTCCTCTCCTGGTTCTCAACACCACCTGCATGTCTCTCAGGTTCCGCTCTCCACCAGACTTCTGCCCTGACCTCCATCCCGTGTCCAGCTGCCTCGACATCTCCGCTGGGGCATGTGCATCTTCATTTGTGCAAAACTGACTCAGCCCGCCCCAGGGGCCCTCCCCCTGCGTTCTCCACATCGTGGATAGGGGCGACCCTGTACTTCCTGAGGCCTAGGTGCACATCTTGGCATGATTCTAAATATAAGATGTTCCAGTATTTGTAAATGTTTTAACGTATAAGATGAAGAGAGTTGGATAATTTGCTAAAAATGAGAGGAGGAATCCATGGTTTCTAAAGTTCTTTCAAGATGTGGGAGGCAAATGTTGGAGGACCACTCCCTTCCTGATCTACTTCCCCGGGGGCCTCTCTGACCTTGTCTGCTGCCGGTCCCCCCGTTACCCTGCTGCAGCCATGCTGGCCTCTTCCCCTTTCCTGGGCCCAGGCTTCCTCCTGCCTCAGGGCCCTCCCAGGGCCTGTCCCTCTGCCTGGAACTGTCTGGCCCCTCAGATGCAGGGGGCAAACACCCTCCTTCGTCCAGGTCCTCGATCTGATACCGCCTTCTCGGGGGAGTCTTTTGCCCACCCTTCCCCCCCGACCTCTGCCGCCTGCCCTGCATGTTCCCTTCTGCCCCTTCCCCTTCCAGGTCTGGGTCCTGGTGACAACAGGGCCCCAGGGGCGAGCAGAGCCAGAAGGTGGGCAGTGTGCTGGGCTGGCCTCCTGTGAGTGCGCTGCAGCCAGCCTCACACTGGATTGCAGATACCGCTCTGGTGGCCCTCCCAGAGAGTCCCCTTCCAGTGGTCAAGGGGGGATAGGGCCCAGCATCAGTACCAGTTGAAGTGTCCCAGGTGCTTCTGATGTGTGTCCAGCATTGAGCACCAAGGCTCTGGTCCTCTGTTTCTGAGGGAGAGGGGAGGGGGCCCTGCTCTGTGTGGGTGTGATCAGGGCGGGTCTGTGACCTGGAGGGGAACGTCGGGTCCAGCCCAGGTCCCCACTGCTGCAGTTGGGGGGGAGGGGAGTTTCACCAGGGTGGGAGCCAGTTGTGAAGAAAGGGGTGCGGACGCTCACTTGTTGGTGTCTGGAGCAGTTCACTGTCCCTGAGCCCCCCGCTGTGGCAGTGGGCAGCAGAGGACTGTCGTTGCCACACGGAGAGGTCTCCCTGTGGGACGTTGTGCTGCAGGAAGGACGTAGATGGATTCTAAGCATTAAACTGCAGATTCTTGATCCTTAGGATTGAATTCTCAAGACTGATCTTGTCTGAGGAAGAAGCAGCTTAGAGGAGGAGGAAGAGGAAAGGAGGGAGTCAGGAATGGCTGTTTGTCAGGTAAAGTCATATTCTTGGTTGATTTTCTGTCTCTCAATCCTGCTGTGCCCTTGCTGGACTCGCTAATCTTCTCTGACTCTAAAGTGTCCCGCCTGAGCCGTGTCTGTCCACACGCCCCCAGGCCTTCCCTCAGTCCCTCTCCTTCCACTTAGAGTCCATCTCAAGCTGACTCAATGACGTGGAGCCTGTGAGGAGGCCCCTTTGTGTCATGGAGAGACGACTTCTTTTATTTCAGTACATTTAAGTGTATATATATATATATGTGCATGAATGCGCAAGCCCCTAGTTTTTGAAAGGACATTAACATTACTTCATAAATAAGTTATTAATTGTTGAGGTTAAATCTTAACCTAAACTTAATCTTTTCCATGGCTTTACATTTTTCCTACTCTAACACGAGTTAAACATTATAAGAAGAATGACATTTATGTGCATGTGTGTTCATGTATAATGACCTTTTTTTTTTTTAAAGATTTTATTTATTTATTTGAGACAGAGAGCACATGAGAGGGGGAAGGGTCAGAGGGAGAAGCAGGCTCCCCGCCGAGCAGGGAGCCCGATGCGGGACTCGATCCCGGGACTCCAGGATCATGACCTGAGCCTAAGGCAGTCGCTTAACCAACTGAGCCACCCAGGCGCCCGTATAATGACCTTTTATTCATGTCCACGTTCTTAGCCTTGAACTTGTTTCAGATTGTCTCAGGGAACCCTCTGTTAGCGTACTCTGGATGTCGTCTGCTATATATGTTTAATTGTTCAAGTTCAATTCCAAAGCCTAGACATCTGGATTCAGGAGCTTGTTCTGCCATTTCTTAGCATTTGACCTTGGGTGGGTTTCGGGGAATGTGTGTGACAGTCTCCTCAGGATGATGGGAACAGATCTGTCTTTAATGAGTGACGATGTTGTTACAATTAGTGCGTGTAAAGCATTTAGTGTAATGCCTAGCACATGGGAAGCATTCAAGAGCTTTTGTTCATTGCTGTTGCTATCATTATCCCAATTTTTAGATTCTGGCCTTTCTCTAAAGTCATTGTGGACATTGTCATCTCTGAAGATACCGCTCGTGCCCTAGCTCATCTAAGATATTGAATATGTGTGTAAAACACGAGAAATGACACTTCTTACAGGTAGCCCTGTACTGATTGTCTATTTTTTTTTAAAGTTTATTTTTTCTGAGTAATCTCTACACCCAATGTGGGGCTCAAACTCACAACCCCAAGGTTAAGGCTCACATGCTTCCCTGGCTGAACCAGCAAGGCACCCCTGATTTCCTATTTTTATATTTCTTATATTGTCCACAAAACTGAAAAAAGCCATATTGATTGAGAAGCCATCCTAAGCTCGTATGGAAAAGTATAATAGGCCAAAACAAGGGACACAGAACTTCCTCAGAAATACCTTATGTGGATCTGTAAGAACACCCACTTCATCTGAATCCATCCTTACACATCTCTCCTCTTCTCGTTTTATGTGAAGATAAGAACTCTCTCCATAGTTCCTTGGCGAAATGTGTTCTCATTTCAGGGATGGTTGACCTTCAGGGATGTGGCCATAGAATTCTCTCAGGAGGAGTGGGAGTGCCTGAACCCTGCTCAGAGGGCCTTGTACAGGGACGTGATGGTGGAGAACTACAGGAACCTGGTCTCTCTGGGTGAGCAAACTGTCCCTCCAGCAGTGGGGGTCTGCCCTTGGGTATCTTTGTATCTTCCCTTGTTTGCCCGGGAGCCCCTGCCCTGCTTGACTGAGATCGAAGCCCTGTTGACTCAGAAATGAATGTGGCATCTGGACTTTTCATTTACACTTTCTTCCGATGATCAGCGCACTTAATCAGGCATGGTGCCGGAGCTCAAGGATGCATAAAACCATATTATGAAAAACAAAATATCCAGTTCCATTTGTTCTACCCTTGTGCTTTTGATTCCGTAGTTCTTAGAAGAAAGTGAGATATTTATATAAACTGTTCTCTAAGTCTTCAGAGGAGGCAGTGGGTGGATAAAATTTTGAAACTGTTTTTCAGTTTTTACTGAGGTGTAATTGACAAAGAAAATTGTAATATATTTAAAGTGTACCCCACAATGATTTGAAATACACATACATTGTGAAAGGATTTCCATAATCAAGTAAGACGCATTACCTCACTTGTTTTTTCTTTCTTTCTTTTTTTTGGTGAGAACACTTAAGCCCTGTTCTCTGAGCAAATTTCAGTTATATCATATTATCAACTATAGTCACCATGTTGTCCATTAGCTCCTCACACCTTATTCACCATGGAGCTGAAATTTTGTCCCCTTTTACCAGCGTTTTGCCATTTCCCCTCTGCCTCGCCCTCAGCACCCACCCATCCTCCCTTGTTTCTAAACATGGCTTCTTCCCTCGTCATCACGCTCCCTCCGTGTTAAATGTCTTCCATTTTTGTCCCACATCCATACTATAATTCCTGCAGTTAAGAATGGGACAGCGTGATAGTATTTGCCACATCAGTTCCTTCTTTTTTTCCAAGGCCGCAATTCTAACTGCCCTGGTACATTTATCTTCCCATAGATTGGCAAGTTCAGTCACTTCTCCCATGCGCTCTTGACTTCCTGCCCTCCACTCCTCACCTTCCTTCTGGCCTTTCCTTACATGGTACCTCCATCGGGATGGACTACAGTATTGCTTACTAGCATATTAATTTTGTCCTCTTAAACACCCTCATTCCCACAGGACCCCCTCACCAGCCACACTGCTCTCACTGTATAAGGAAAGATCCCTGTTTATCCACTGTATCACTGTTTCAGGACACTATGGAAATTTATATGTGCAAGGGGTGACGAGGTACTCAGGATGGCTGAGTAACACTGTTAGCAACACAACTCAGCTCTGGTGTCTCCATCGAAGTATTTATTTCAGAGCTTGTGATCTTTTTTTTTTTTTAAAGATTTTATTTATTTATTTAAGACAGAGAGAATGAGAGATGAGAGCACATGAGAGTGGGGAGGGTCAGAGGCAGAAGCAGGCTCCCTGCCGAGCAGGGAGCCCGATGCGGGACTCGATCTAGGGACTCCAGGATCATGACCTGAGCCGAAGGCAGTCGCTTAACCAACTGAGCCACTCAGGCGTCCCTTTGCTTTTTTTCTTAAGAGAGATCTGTTAAGAATTCCACAAACTAATTTTGTGTAATTGTGTTTACTTATTATTTCTATCGTGGTTTCACTATAGGTTACTAGAATGTTTTATTAATTGTCATGATTTATAGATGATGGTTTTTCTGAATGTATAATGCAACATAACTGACTTAAACCACTTGTTAATATCGCCAAATGGTGACTACAGTTTTATAACCAGTATTGAGAAAAATATTTTTGTAACGTTGTTTGATTAAATTCTTCCTCATCTCCCCAGCGCTGCTATGGTTTTCCAACTCCAAATTGCCATTTACTAGATTACTCACTAGATAAGTTTGTTTCGGATTATTTAGCATTAGATGGACTTGAGCATTAGTGCACAATAAATACGCAGTAAATATGGATGGTATTTTTATCTCTTCAGATAGGAAAGAGCCATATATATTCTGTGAAGTGGTGTGTGATTTGGGGCCATGATGGAAAAATACCCCTTCTTTCAGGGCTAGTGTAAGTTTGTACACTGATTGTTTTTTTTTGCCATTGATTATTTAAAGTAGGCTTCTCTAAAATTAATTTGAATTCCATGGAGTCACCCTTTTATCTTAAAGAATCCTATTCCTTTTGTGTTCCTAAAAATTGAAGATCATGGTTCCATTTCATAACTGATCAAAATATGTAGTACTTTTGGTGTAATTTGTTTTTCAATATGAAATTTTTCTGTAATTAATGGGAAACCTATGGTTCTTTATATCTTGTAGCTATCTCTTCCAAATATATGATCAAGGAATTACCACCCAAAGAAACCAGTAATACAGGGGAAGTATTGCAGACAGTTATATTGGAAAGACATAAAAGCCGTGACACCGACGATTATGCTTTTAGAGCAATCCGGAAAAATATTCCTGACTTTGAGTGTCAGTGGGGAGACGGTGAAAGAAATTACAAAGCAGTGCTTGTGACCCTTAACAAAAATCTCAATGGTGGAAGAGATCGATATGGTGGAAGAGATGCAGGAAATAAGCCAATTGAAAACAGGTTTGGACTAAGCTTTCAATCACATCTGGCTGGAGTGCAGATACTTCATACTGAAGGGAAAATTTATGAATGTCACCCAGCTGAGAAGTCTGTCAGCGTTGGGTCTTCAGTTTCACCACATCCCAGAATTCTTCCTAGTGTCCACACCAGCATTTCTAGGGAACGTGGGAATGATTTCTTGCGTTCTTCGTTACTCACACAAGACCGGAAAGCACACCTTAGGGAAGAACCTTACAAACGTGATGAGTGTGACAAAGCAGTTAATCCCAGTTTACACCTCACTAGACATCAGATAATCCACCCAGGAGAGAAACCATATAAATGTGATGTATGTGGGAAGGTCTTCAATCACAACTCACACCTTGCATGTCATCGAAGAATTCACACCGGAGAGAAACCTTACAAGTGCGTCGAGTGTGGCAAGGTCTTCGGTCGCAATTCACACCTTGTGCGTCATCACAGGATTCACACTGGGGAGAAACCTTACCACTGCAATGAGTGTGGTAAAGCCTTTAGTGAGTGTTCAAGTCTCACTAACCATCAGGTAATCCATACTGGGGAGAAACCTTACAAGTGCAACGAATGTTGCAAGGTCTTCAGTCAGAGTTCAGGCCTTGCAAGCCATCGAAGAATCCATACTGGAGAGAAACCTTACAAATGTACTGAGTGTGGCAAAGCCTTTACGTATAGTTCACAACTCACTAACCACCAGGTAATCCACACTGGTGTGAAGCCTTACAAATGTACTGAGTGTGGCAAAGCCTTTAATCAGAGCTCCCATCTCACTAGACATCAAATAATCCACACAGGGGAGAAACATTACAAGTGTGACGAATGTGGGAAGGTCTTCAGTTACGATTCACACCTTGCCCGTCATCGCAGGATTCATTCTGGAGAGAAGCCTTACCAGTGTAATGAATGTGGCAGAGCCTTTAGTATGTACTCAAGCCTTACTTATCATCAGGTCATCCATACGAGGGAGAAGCCTTACAAATGTAATGAATGCGGCAAGGTCTTCAGTCAGAGTTCGAGCCTTCCCAGTCATCGGAGAATTCATACTGGGGAGAAACCATACAAATGTAATCAGTGTGGCAGATCTTTTATTCAACGCTCAAACCTCACTAGACATCAGATGATTCATACAGGAGAGAAACCATATAAATGTAATGTATGTGGGAAGGTCTTCAGTCAAAATTCGAGCCTTGCAAGTCATCAGAGAATTCATACTGGGGAGTAACAGACGTAATGAGTGTGACAAAGCCTTTATTGTAAGTTCAAGCATGAATTGGCATTAGAGAGGCCACCCTAAAGAGAAATCATATAAATGTAACGCATGCGGCAGAGGACTTACACAGGCTTCACAACTCACTAGACATCAGGATATACATCTCTGATGACACCACATTAATGTAATGTGCATGCTAAGGCTTTTGCCCATGGATCAAAACTGCAGAACATCACAGCACTCATACTGGAGAGCAGCCTTGCAAGTTTAATGAATCTGAAGGCTTTCTGGCAAACATTCATGCCTTTGATGTCATGAGAGTATACTAGAGAGAAACCTACAGATTTACTGAACATCTAAAGGCCTTTAAAGCAACACTGTGTCCTCGGGGTTCACCAGTTCATCGTAGAACAAAATAATCCGAAGTAGGAAGAAGTCTTCCAAATGTAATGAATATTTTTATATTTCTTCCATGACTTTTACAACAGAATCCACAGCAGAGAATTCTTACGAGGACTAAAATAACTAACTCTCAAGTTCTCTAAATTTAACCTGAGATAGTACATACCACAGAATAATTTAAAGCCAAAATGTGTTACAACTCTAGATAGAAAAAAAAGATACATAGAGATACAGCAAAGGTATATAGATCCTAAAGATATAATTCTGTTGTTTCTTTTCTAAATCTTTTCTAGGTTAAAGTATTATTGTTTTACATTTCACATTTAAAACTATGATCATTTTTGAGCTACTATTTGTACAGGTGTGAAGTTTTTGCAGACATTTTTTTTTTTTTTAAGATTTTATTTATGTATTTGAGACAGAGAGAATGAAAGAGACAGAGAGCACATGAGAGCGGGGAGGGTCAGAGGGAGAAGCAGGCTCCCTGCCGAGCAGGGAGCCCGATGCGGGACTCGATCCAGGGACTCCAGGATCATGTCCTGAGCCAAAGGCAGTTGCTTAACCAACTGAGCCACCCAGGCGCCCTTTGCAGACATTTTTTTTCTGTTATGGGAAATCAAGTGGTCCACCATCATTTTTTTTTTTTTTAATTCTCTCTTCATTCGGTTTCCTTGGTACCTTTGTCAAACCTCAGTTGGAAGTACTTGTGTGGGGCCATTTCTGGCCTTTTCCATTGATCTATATGTCTCTTACTCCACAAATACAATGTAGTCTTGACTACCATATTAGAAATGTAGAATGAGTGATTCCAACCACTTTATTCTTCCTTTTAGGGTGGTTTTATTTTTTTAAATTTTTTTTTTAAAGATTTTATTTATTTATTTGAGAGAGAGAATGAGATAGAGAGAGCATGAGGGGGGGAGGGTCAGAGGGAGAAGCAGACTCCCCGCCAAGCAGGGAGCCTGATGCGGGACTGGATCCCGGGACTCTAGGATCATGACCTGAGCCGAAGGCAGTCGCTTAACCAACTGAGCCACCCAGGCGCTCTCAGGTGTTTTAGCTCTTCTAGTTCCTTTGCCTTTCCTTATAACTTTTAGAAGAATCTTGTTTGTGTCTGCAAGATACCTTGATAGAAGTTGTGTTAAGCCTGTGTATCAATTTGCGGTCATTTGACATCATTTCTATGTTGTATCTTCCAATAAATGGCTGTGGTATGTCTCTATTTGTGTGATCTTTTATAGATTATTAGCATCAAAATCCTGTCAGTGTTTTGTTAAATTAACGTATGTTTGTACTTTTTCCTTTTTGAGCAGTCATATATATTGTATTTTTTTTTTTAAGATTTTTTTTAAATTATTTATTTATTTGAGAGAGAGAGAACACATGAGAGGGGATAGGGGCAGAGGACAAAGCAGACTCCCTGCCGAGCAGGGAGCCCGATGCAGGACTCGATCCCGGGACTCCAGGATCATGACCTGAGCCAAAGGCAGTCGCTTAACCAACTGAGCCACCCAGGCGCCCAACATACTGTATTTTTGATTTCAGTTTCCACTTGTTAATTGCTACTGCATTGAAATGAGATAGATTTTTAGAAAGATTTTATTTTAGAGAGAGCATGAGTGTGGGGAGGGGCGAAGGGAGGGGAAGAGAGAGAATCTCAAGCAGACTCTGCCCTGAGCACAGAGCCCGACATGGGACTTGATCTCACGACCCTGAGATCATGACCTGCGGCAAAATCAAGAGTCAGACACTTAACTGACTCAGCCACCCAGGTACCCCAAGACAGATTTTTTAAAATGTTGATCTTGTGTACTCAGAATTTACTCATCTCATGGGGCACCTGGCTGGCTCACTCGGAAGAGCATGCAGTGCTTGATCTCTGGGTCATGAGTTCAAGCCCCACATTGGGTGTAGAGATTACTAAAAAAATCAATAAACTTAGGGGCACCTGGGTGGCTCAGTCGTTAAGCGTCTGCCTTCGGCTCAGGTCATGATCCCAGTGTCCTGGGATTGAGCCCCGCGTCGAGCTCCCTGCTCCGAGGAGAGCCTGCTTCTCCCTGTCCCTCTGCCTAGTTGTGCTCTCTCTCTCTCAAATAAATAAATAAAATCTTAAAAAAGAAATAAAACAAAAAAACCCTAGTAACTTGAAAAAAATTGTTAAAAATTGCCTTGTTATAATTTATAACTGTTGAGACATTTTCAACCGTGTAAAGGAAAGCATCTTATTTTTTTTCTAATTTTTAAGTAATCTCTTCGCCCAGCTTGGGGGTGAAACTCACAACTCTGAGACCCGGAGTTGCTCGCTCTACCAAGTGGGCCACCTAGGCGCCCCCGAAAACAAAAGAATCTTGGTTTCCAACATAAATGGCCCCCACACCTTTAAACTTTACCTTCAAGCTGTTTGAACCATAACTGAGCTAGGCAGGAGGCAAGGCATCTCCACGGAAAAGACAGGTTTCCAAAGCAGGGAAACAGACCTGCGAGCTGAGAGGCGTGACTCCGGTCCCAGGCCCCGCCCCAACCAAAGGCTCCGCCCCGGCCTCGCCCCGCCCCTTACTCTTCCCGCGCAGGCTCCGCCTCTCGCCGCCCGCCTCTTCACTGCGCACGTGCGGGTTCCTGTAGCCCCGGAGCGAGCGAAGGTCCCGCCGGGGAGCGTGAGTTTCTGTCTTTCTCGTTTGAACCTGCTCGTCGCAGTCCCCTGTCCTCCATAGACAGGGTGTGGGGGCCTGTCCCTCTGCCTGGAACTGCCTGGCCCCTCAGATGCAGGGGGCAAACACCCTCCTTCGCCCAGGTCCTCGATCTGATACCGCCTTCTCGGGGGAGTCTTTTGCCCACCCTTCCCCCCCGACCTCTGCCGCCTGCCCTGCATGTTCCCTTCTGCCCCTTCCCCTTCCAGGCCTGGGTCCTGGTGACAACAGGGCCCCAGGGGCGAGCAGAGCCAGAAGGTGGGCGGTGTGCTGGGCTGGCCTCCTGTGAGTGCGCTGCAGCCAGCCTCACACTGGATTGCAGATACCGCTCTGGTGGCCCTCCCAGAGAGTCCCCTTCCAGTGGTCAAGGGGGGATAGGGCCCAGCCTCAGTACCAGTTGAAGTGTCCCAGGTGCTTCTGATGTGTATCCAGCATTGAGCACCAAGGCTCTGGTCCTCTGTTTCTGAGGGAGAGGGGAGGGGGCCCTGCTCTGCGTGGGTGTGATCAGGGCGGGTCTGTGACCTGGAGGGGAACGTCGGGTCCAGCCCAGGTCCCCACTGCTGCAGTTGGCGGGGGGGGCTTCACCAGGGTGGGAGCCAGTTGTGAAGAAAGGGGTGCGGACGCTCACTTGTTGGTGTCTGGAGCAGGTCACTGTCCCTGAGCCCCCCTGCTGTGGCAGTGGGCAGCAGAGGACTGTCGTTGCCACACGGAGAGGTCTCCCTGTGGGACGTTGTGCTGCAAGAAGGACGTAGATGGATTCTAAGCATTAAACTGCAGATTCTTGATCCTTAGGATTGAATTCTCAAGACTGATCTTGTCTGAGGAAGAAGCAGCTTAGAGGAGGAGGAAGAGGAAAGGAGGGAGTCAGGAATGGCTGTTTGTCAGGTAAAGTCATATTCTTGGTTGATTTTCTGTCTCTCAATCCTGCTGTGCCCTTGCTGGACTCGCTAATCTTCTCTGAGTCTAAAGTGTCCCGCCTGAGCCGTGTCTGTCCACACGCCCCCAGGCCTTCCCTCAGTCCCTCTCCTTCCACTTAGATTCCTCATGGTGACCCAGTGGTGTTGAGCCTTTCAGGAGCCCCCCCCAACCCCCCGCCCCAGGCGCACCATGATGGGCTTCACACCAGGCGTGGATTGGAGACAAGTGTGGGCCCCGTGGTGTCTGGTTTGGCAGCAGGGTTTGTGGATGGGCACAAATCCTTGGTAAATTCTTCAAAAGGAGACCAATGAGAGGAAATCTGTGCCACTAAAGAAGGAATATCATTTTTAGTATCTTGCTTTAATTCTCATGCTTCAGCGACCACCTTGTGCTGAGTGGCAATCACGTCATCCATGAATTTAACACACCCAGGTCTTTGACTCTCTCCCCTCCCCTCCTTTTTTTTCTTTCCCTCTTCCGTCTTGTACTGGTCCCTCCTCAGGCATCCTGTGCAGTGGTGAATTGAGGGAGGCCTGGCCGGCCCCTTTTCTCTGCCTTAATTTGGAGGAAATACATCCAGTGTGTACTCTTGGTCATGATATTTGATGAAATATTCTTGCTTAAAAACATGGCTTTTTTTTTTTCCCTCAACTTTTCTGCATGATTGTTAATTTTCTACTTATTTCTCAAGTGTCTACTGCTGCAATCCAAATTTTTTATCTTATTCTGTTAAATTAATGCATGCCAGTAATAAATTTTCTACCCTTGAATTCTTACAGATTATTAGTTTATTAGTGGAATGAACCAATAAACTCGATTTTGTTCTTTTTTAATCCCTAAATGTCTACATTTAAGATAGTAAAATTATATTTATACTTTTGACCAGAGGTATTTAATAGAGATTGGAGTTAAAGTGTTTATATATGGGGCGCCTGGGTGGCTCAGATTGTTAAGTATCTGCTTTCAGCTCAGGTCATGATCTCCAGGTCCTGGGGTCAAGCCCCACATCAGGCTCCCTGCTTAGTGGGGAGTCTGCTTCTTCCTCTGACTCTCCCTGCTGCTTGTGCTCTCTTAAAATGAATAAATAAAATCTTAAAAAAAAATAAAATGTCTATATGTATCTTTTCATGTTTTATCACTTGTTTTAAGGCCTAATATATAGAATAATGTTGACAAACTAAATGAAGTACAATGTATATATTTTCATCGACCCAAATAGACTGAATACACGTGAGCAAAAATGATGAAAAAATTCACCCAAAAAATAGTCGAGAGACAACTCTTATTTCAGTTAAGTGTGTATTTTTGTGTGTGCATGAATGCATGCATGGATGTGTAGGCTCATGGTTTTTATAAAAGACACCTCATCCTTTCATGAATAAGTTTTATATTTTTTTTAACAGTTGGAATTACATTTGAAATAATTTCCATGGCTTTAAATTTTTTTTACACTCTTTCGCCAATCATTAAAATAGTAGTAAGAATAATAACTTGTTGTGTTCTTGCGTGTGTGTATTTACAGTGACCTGTCATGCAGTTCCTTGTTATTACCCTTGAACTTGTTTCAAGGTTTCTCAGTTGAGAACCCTCTATGAATGCGCTTTAGATGCTGTATCTGTTATTTAAGTGTTTAATTCTTAAGTTCAATTCTGAAGTCCAGACGTCTGGGATCAGAAGCTGACTGCCATTTCTTTTCTTTCTTTTTTATTTTTTTAAAGATTTTTTTTTTTTTAATTTATTTGACAGAGAGAGAAGGAACACAAGGAGGGGGAGCAGGAGAGGGAGAAGCAGGCTTCCAGCTGAGCAGGGAGCCCAATGCGGGGCTCGATCCCAGGACGCTGGGATCATGACCCGAGCTGAAGCAGAAGCTTAACCGTCTGAGCCACCCAGGCGCCCCCTGACTGCCATTTCTTAGCTGTTTGACTTGAGGCAAGTTTCTTAGAGTAGCTGTGATACAGGTGAAATATGTAATTTCAGTGATTTGAGGACCGATCTTTCTTCAGTGGGCTTGTCCTTTGTTAGATCAGCTTGCATGTATAAAGCATTTAGAGTAATGCCTAGTACGTGGGACACGTTTAAAAACCGGTAATCATCGCTGTCACTCTCATTATTACAAGTTTTAGATTTCACCCTTTCTTTTCTTTCTCTTTATCCCCCTTTTTTTCTTTCTTTCTTTTTCGGTGCAAAATGGTGGTTTTATTAAAGCATGGGGACAGGACCCATGGGCAGAAAGAGCTGCTGCACCCTCAGTCCACCATGGGCAGTTGTCATCTCTGAAGATACCACTCCTGCTGTAGGTCATCTAGATGTGGAATATCACTGAGTGTGTAGAACATAATATCTCACATTTCTAGATGGCTAACACTGTGTTGAACTTGTGTGTATTTCTTGTATTATCTACAAAAATGAGAACTCCACAATTTAGAGACCATCCTAACCTCTTCTGGGAAGAGTACAATAAGACAAAATTAGGGACACATAACTTGCTCAAAAATATCTTATATGGACAATGAATCATGGAATACTACATCAAAAACTAATGATGTAATATATGGTGGTTAACATAACATAACTATAAAAAAAATCTTATATGGATCTGTAGGAACACTACTTCAAACAAAATCCATCCTTCCCATCTCTGTTTTTTTTTATGTGAAGATAAGAACTCTCTCCATAGCTCCTTGGTGAAATGTGTTTTCATTTCAGGGACGCTTGACATTCAGGGATGTGGCCATAGAATTCTCTCAGGAGGAGTGGGAGTGCCTGGACCCCGCCCAGAGGGCCTTGTACAGGGACGTGATGGTGGAGAACTACAGGAACCTGGTCTCCCTGGGTGAGGAAAATGTCCCTCCAGCAGTGGGGGTCTGCCCTTGGGTATCTTTGTATTTTTCCTTGTTTGCCTCCTGGGAGCCCCTGCCCTGCTTGACTGAGATCGAAGCCCTGTTGATGCAGAAGTGATAAACTTCTTGGGGCACCTGGGTGGCTCAGTTGGTTAAGCATCTGACTCTTGATCTCAGCTCAAATCTTGATCTCAGGGTCATGAGTTCAAGTTCCATGTTGGGCTCCACGAGCCCACTTTTAAAAAGAAATGCAGCATCTGGACTTTACACTTCCTCTTTCTTCAGATCATTTGCCCATTTCATGATCTATCAGGAGTGTTACAGAACTTAAGTATGCATAAACCTTATAAACATTTACATATCCAATTCCCTGTTTTCCAGCCTTGTGGTTCGTAGAAGAGAGTGAGGTTTGTGTACAATTATACTGTCTTCTGTGCATCCAGGAGGAGGCAAGCAGTGGAGGAATTTGTGAAATACTTTTTCTAGATCCACCTGTAACGTCCTCGCTCCTCAGCTGAATAAAAGGCTTGGATTTTGGAAAAGCCTCAGTGCATCACATTTCCATTATGTGATAAGCAGGAATCTCACTTTTGATTTGAATATTATCTCTTCTTTGGAGCAAGGGAAAGAGCCCTGGACTGTGGAGGGCAAAGTGAAAAAAACCATATGGGTGGGAATGTTGACAGGTGGGAACACAGGCAAGAGCTCAGAAGGGCAGCGAGGGAGCCTCACCATTAATGGTGTTCGAGAAACTCTCCGCAGTGGGAGAGTTCTGTGGGAAAACAACAGCTTCTTTCTTGTGAGCTCTCGGAGGAAATTTTTTTCTCTCCATATCGAACTTCTTCAGACATGTGAAATTTACCCTTTCACACCCCAGTGGTGCTGCAGCTCCAACAGAGATGAAGGCAAAGCTTTTTTTTCTTAATGAATTATTTGTTGAATACAATACTATTTTCCAGTTAAAGATTCTATGGTAGATTGCGTTTTTTTTTTCTTGAAGTATGGATGATATGCATTATTATATTGGTTTTAGGCATATAACATGATGATTCTACAATTATGTACAGTACAAAATACCATGATAAATGTAGTTACCCTGCGTCACAATGCAGCATTGTTATAGTATTACTGATTATATTCCCTGTGTTATACTTTTCATACGTGTGATTTATTTATTTCCTAACTGGAAGTTGATACCTCTTAGTCCCCTTCACCTGTTTTGCTCATTGCCCATCTCCTCCCCTCTGGCAACCACAATTTATTCTCTGTATTTACGAGTCTGTTTCTGTTCGTTCATTCATTCGTGCATTTATTTTGTTTTTTAGATTGTAGATAGAAGTGGAATCATGGTATTTGTCTTTTTCTCTCTTAGTTCATTTAGCATAATACCCTGTGTCATTCATGTTGCACAGATAGTGAAGTTTCATTCTTTTTTTATGGCTGACTAATAATATTCCATTGTATATGTATACTATATCTTCTTTATCCATTCATCTATCCATGGACACTCGGGCTGCTTCCATGTCTTGGCTATTGTAAAGAATGCTGCTATAAACATTGGGGTGCTTGTATCCCTTCAAGTCTGCATTTTTGTATCTTCTGCATCTTTTGTATCTACTAAATACCTAGTAGTGTAATTCCTGGATCCGAGGGTAGTTCTATTTTTAACTTTTTGAGGACCCTCCAAACTATTCTCCAGAGTGGCTGCACCAGTATGCATTCCCACCAACGATGCACGAGGTTTCCCCTTTCTCCACATCCTTGCCCAATACCTGTTGTTTCTTGCATTGTTAATTTTAGCCATTCCGACGGGTGTGAGGTGGAAAACAACCTTGCCTCCAGAGACGTGTCTGGAAAGAAGTTGCTACTGGCCAAGGTCAAAGAGGTTGCTGCCTGTGTTCTCCTCTAGGATTTTGATGGTTTCCTGTCTCACATTTGGGTCTTTCATCCATTTTGAATTTATTTTTGTGTGTGGTATAAGAAAGTGGTCCAGTTTCATTCTTCTGCATGTCGTAAACATAGAGTACATTTATGTTTTCAAGTTAATGTTTTTGTTTTCATTGGGTAAATATCCGGTAGGATTATAAGATCATATGGTATTTCTATTTTTAATATTTTGAGGAACCCCCCATACTGTTTTCCACAGTGGCTGCATTAATTTACATTCCTACCAATAGGGCACAGGATTCATTTCTCTATATCCTCTCCAATACTTGTCACCTTTTTTTTTTTTTTTAAGATTTTATTTATTTATTTGAGACAGAGAGAATGAGACAGAGAGCACATGAGAGGGGGGAGGATCAGAGGGAGAAGCAGGCTCCCTGCCAAGGAGGGAGCCCGATGCGGGACTCGATCCAGGGACTCCAGGATCATGACCTGAGCCGAAGGCAGTCGCTTAACCAACTGAGCCACCCAGGCGCCCCTACTTGTCACCTTTTGACTTTTTGATAATAGCCTTAACAGAAGATGATATACCATGTTGGTTCTGATTTGCATTTCCTTGATGATTGGCAATGTTGAGTATCTTTTCTTGTGGCTGTTGGCCATCTGTATGTCTTTGGAAAAATGTCTATTCATGTCCTCTGTCCATTTTTTAATAGTTGTATTTTGTATTCTTTTTGGTTTGTTTTGCTATTGAGTTTTATAAGTTCTTATATATTTTGGATATTAACACCTTATCATTTTTTTTAAATATTTATTTATTTGACAGAGAGAACACAAGCAGGGGGAGTGGCAGGCAGAGGCAGAGGGAGAAGCAGGCTCCCTGCAGAGCAGGGGGAGCCCGATGTGGGACTCGATCCCAGGACCCCGGGATCATGACCTGAGCCGAAGGCAGTTGCTTAACCGACTGAGCCACCCAGGCGTCCCAACACCTTATCATCTTGAACTTTTGCAGATATTTTCTCCCATTTCATAGGTTGCCTTTTAATTTTATTGTTTCTTTGCTTTTTGGAAACTTTTTAGTGTGATGTAGTCTTATGTATTTTTTGTTGTTGTTGTTGTTGTTTTGGTCTGCACTTTTGTTTCCAATTCTAAAAAATCATTGCCAAAACCAATGTTAAGGAAATTTTCCCCTGTATTTTCTTCTAGGAGTTTTACAGTTTCACACCTTACATTTAATCTTTAATCCATTTTGAGTTGATTTTTGTATATGTTGTAAGGTAAGGGTCTGGCTTCATTCTTGTGCACATAGATAACCAGTTTTCCCTACATTTACTGAAGAGACTATCCTTTCCCAATTGTGTATTCTTGGTGTGGTTGTCAAAAACTAGTTGACTGTGGAAACAGCAAGTGCTATCAAAGATACAGAGAAAAAGGAAACTTCTTGCACTGTTGGTGGGAATGCAAACTGGTGCAGCCACTGTGCAGAACAGTATGGAGGGTCCTCAAAAAGTTAATAATAGAACGACCCCAGTATCCAGTAATTGTACTATTGGGTATTTACCTAAAAAATACAAAAGTACTAATTCAAAGGGATACATGCACTTCTGTGTTTATAGCAGAATTATTTACAATAGCCAAGATATGGAAGCAGCCCAAGTGTCCATTGGTAGATGAATGAATAAAGAAAATGTGAGATATATATATGTATACAATGGAATATTCTTAGTCAGCCATAAAAAAGAATGAAATCTTGGGCACCTGGGTGACTCAGTCGTTGAGTGTCTGCCTTTGGGTCAGGTCATGATCCCAGGGTCCTAGGATCGAGCGCCGCATCGGGCTCTCTGCTTGGTGGGGAAGCCTGCTTCCCCCTCTCCCACTCCCTGCTTGTGTTCCCTCTCTCGCTGTCTCTCTCTGTCAAATAAATAAATAAAATCTTAAAAAAAAAAAGAATGAAATCTTGCCATTTGCAATGATATGGATGGAACTAGACAGTATAATGCTAAGCAAAATCTGTCAGTCAGAGAAAGGCAAATGCCATATGATTTCACTCATATGTGGAATTTAAGAACCAAAACAAATGGGCAAAGGAAAAAAAGAGAGACAAGGCAAGAAACGGACTAACTATTGAGAACAAACTGGTGATTGCTGGAGGGGAGGTGTGTGGGGGGAGATGGGTGAAATAGGGATTAAGGAGGGCACTTGTCTTGATGAGCATTGGGTGTTGTGTGGACTTGTTGAATTGTGGTATTGTACTCCTGAAACTAATGTAACACTGTGTGTTAACTCTACTGGAATTAAAAAAAAAATTAGTTGACTATGTATGCAGGGGTTTATTTCTATTCTGTTCCATTGGTTTAAATGCCTGTTTTTATGCCAGTACCCTCTGTACTTTTTTAAATTAATTTTTAAAAAAGTTTTAATACCAGTGTAGTTCATATATATATATATGAATATATATGACTGTATATGACTATATATGGTACAACATATAAAACATATTTCTCTATATAATATATATATCCATATATGTATATATACCACATCTTCTTTATCCATTATCTATCAATGGACAGTTGGACTGTTTCCATAGTTTGGCTCTTGTAAATAATGCTGTAATAAGCATAGGGATGCATATATTCCTTCGATTTAGTGTTCTCGTATTCTTAGGGTAAATACCCAGTAGTTTGATTCCTGGATTGTGGAGTAGTTCTATTTTTAACTTTTTGAGGAACCTCCATACTGTTCTCCACAGTGACTACACCAGTTTGCATTCCCACCAACAGTGCATGAAGATTCCTTTTTCTTCACATCTTTGCCAGCACTTGTTGTTTCTTGAGTTTTTTATTTTAGCAATTCTGAGAAGTGTGTGGTGGTATCTCATTGTGGTTTTGATTTGTATTTCCCTGATTCCAAGTTATGTTGACCATTTTTTCATGTGTCTGTTGGCCATTTGGATGTCTTCTTTGCAGAAATGTCTGTTCATGTCTTCTGCCCATTTCTTGACTGGATTATTTGTTCTTTGGGTATGGAGTTTGATTAAGTTCTTTATGGATCTTGGATACTAGCCCTTTATCGGAAAAGACATTTGCAAATATCTTCTCCCATTCTG